AATTTTTTCCTTTTCTAAATTTAACAGTCAAATGAGGTGGATTTATGCTTAATTTGGACGCTTGGAAAACTCTAGACTCCCTAATTCAAACGGCATTAGGCAGCTAATGCTGACGATGTTGATATTTTATGAACATAACCATAAAAATGCGATCTTCTAAATATAAAAAAAAAAAATTTAAATGTACACATATGGAATACATAATTTTATTTATCATTCATTTTTGAGTCTGAATAACTAGATCTTAAATCTCAGGCTCGCACACTTCTTTGTGAATTTTGGTTTCATCCCCATCCACAACCAACCAATATGGCCCCAGCAGATATAGTCTAATAGTGGTAAGGTTACATAGATAAAGAAAATTTGGAGAATTATGTGCAGAGGCGAAGATAAGAATTGAATGAAGAGAGTATCAAATAATAATTTCAAAGGGAAAGGGGTTAAAGTAATATTTTGATAGATTTGGGTACTATAGTATAAGAGAGATTAAAAATTTTTTAGGAGGGGACTGTGGCTCCTGCCTGCCCCCCTTGACTCCGTCCTTGATCGTGTGTCATTTTTTCAACATCATCACCACGATGAATCTAAAAATTCCAAATTCATGGACAAATCTTGACCCATCTCTATTTCATTTCATTCTCGATATGGCAAAATTTTCAAGCTTTCACACAATGCCACTAACTCAAAAAAGAACTAACCCAATATTACTATACGAGAAGGCAAATTAATATTAACGAGTATCAAATAGCATTAATTAAAGTAATATTTAAGAAAATAATAAATAATGTATCATCTAATTTTCTTAAGTAATCCTTTTGTACATTTAAGTAAGTTTAGAGGGAAAAAAGGGGTTTAAAATTTGGGTTTGATAAAAACCATAAACTTAATAGGTTATCATATATATTCATAGTATTTTGAAAATCTCGAAAGAGTCATTAACATTGAAGTAAAAAACATAGTGTAATAATTTCTGAAAGCGGTGATCTTTATGTAGCTACTAGTTTTTTTTTACCCGTTGCACGGAGTTTTTTTTTTTTATATAGTTTAAAATATTAATTTATATTAATTTTTATATTATACATATAGATAAATTAAAATAATCATAATCATTTATAATTTGTAATTTAAAATTAAAAAAATTATCGATATAAATTATTATAAAAAGAATCTAATAAGCATTACGAAAATTTTAGATTATGAAAAGGTAAACATTATTGAAAATATCAATAAAAAAATTAATCTTTTTATTCACAATTACATAAATTTTTAAAGTATATAATTATTTAGTATAAAAAATTAAGATTATAACACAGTGTGATATATAATAAAAAACTTTTTTCATATTTAGTTTTGAAATTTTTATCTTGTCAAACTTTTAATAACGAAAAGAAAAAAATATGATTGTGAGAAAAATCATAAATATATATTTAATTATATTTAATTTTAAAAAATTTTAAGTTTTTTAAAAAATGGTTTATCCAAGTTTAATTTAAATAAGATAAAAGAAGTTAGTATAATTTTAATTTAGATATGTGTGTAATTTTGAATTGAATAAAATATTTTTTTTCATTTAAATTATAAAAAAAAATAAAAACAAATTTGTTAAATAACAGTTGATTCCAATCATAAATTTTATTTATTATAAATTATATAATATTAATTTAGACTATGTATAAATTTTTTATGATTTTTAAGATTAAGAATTTAACCTTTTAAACCTATTTGGAATTTGGATAAGAGTGAAATATGAGAATATATATTTTATTAGATTTAAATTAAGATAATTTTTATATATCGGAAGATTTTGATAAATTAAATTTTTAAAACTTTTACAAATTTTTAAAAATTTAAATAATTGATTAATAAAGTTATTTAAAATATCTTACGTGATAAAATATAGATTATCCATTAAACATTTATGTAAGTAAATTTATCAGAATTTTTTATGATATTATAATATATATATATATGATATCCTTGATTTAAGGGGATAAGAGTAGAGAGATGCAATTATGGTGGAGATGAGATGAAAGATTGAAGATGGTATATATTGGTGTAAACTGTAAACTAAGAAGGCCCAAAGGTTTCATCAGGTTAAGATCTGTTAAAAAAGGGTTAAAAAAAATTACTATTTTGGTAAGTGGTAATCCAAAGAAAAATCCCTCTTTCTGCTTTTTTTTTTTTCTTGTCCTTTCTCCCAATTTTTTTTACCATTAATGGAACCAAAATAAATCATAGTTGCTTTACTAGAGTTACCCTGAAGAAATACAGGGGTTGAGGGAAAATGGGCCGTTGATTTTAACAGGGTAGCCTAGCCTGGTCGCTGGTGGTGGTGAGGTAACATGTAGCTAAAGTGGAAAGGAAGGGCATTTGGAGAAGTTTAGTGAAGAAAAGAAGAGAGAAACGTAGCAATACAGAATTATCACAAGAGAGCTAGAAATGCAATGTGCAAGACAAGAGAAAAGACACGTGGAAACCCCAACAATCCGACAAGAGATGGCGTAACGTGATCTGGGTCTGCCGCTGCTGAGGTTTGACCCCTGCCATGTCCATGTTTCCCGCTGCTTGCAATTTGGACCGCTCTTTCTTTGTGTAAAATGAAGCGTGAAATATGTCAGGATATTCCTTTCTGCTATTTTTCTATTAGCGTTAGGCTGTAACGTTTACATGTCACGAAGAATCGCGTGAGATGATTAATGCACCTAGAAAAAATTCCTTGATTTTACGAGTTCGATAACTTTTGTTAGTAAAACCATTAGTTCCATTGGCTACAACAGGATATAGTGAACGTAAATTCGTAACTTGGTTGTGAAATAATTCATGCCATTGAATTTAAAATTTAATTCAAATTATATTCATTAGTAATTCTTTACCTTATTATTTGTGCCAAGTTGTTTTTAAAGTGTAAAATTTTGAAATTAAAAAAAAAAAGCGATTAAAGATAAAAATTATAAGTGGTCTCAATATTTTTGTTCCAATGCTCCAATAAAAAATGGGCAAAAGAGGATAATAAAAAAAATGATTCATCTTATATCTAGGTAAAAGATAACCTAAATTTATCCAAAATCAACCTTAAAATTTAGGATGACTTGATAGATCGAGTTGATTTAGACATTAATCATTCATTTCAAAAATGATAAATCAACATTTAAAAAAACTTATTAAATAGATTGATGAGGTGATTGAGTTAAAGTGGTTCTATGAAATCAAGTCTGACTAGATACTTCAACTCGATTTCATTTATAAAAAAAAAAATTTCAATTCTTCCCATTGTATAGCTTAATATCAAATGTATAAAAATAAATCTTATTTCAATTTCAACTCTACCAGTTTCATTGAATGATATATATTTGCAATCCAAATTCAAGTTAGGACGATCCGTTATAGTTTTTTCAATTCATCAAATCAGTAGGATTTGCTAATAATTGGGGAATGAACATGAGGGCATGACCCACTGTGACCCTTTCTGTGAAGCTTCATTGGGCTCCTTTCTCCCCAGCTACATCCACCGATAACGCTCACCTAATCATGGAATGAAAGTCTTTCTTAAGGCCACACACGAATGCTTTTCATTTCTTTAATCTCGCTTTCAATTAAACCACATTCGCTTCAATTTTTTATTGGATGACCTTGATCATAAATTATATGAACAAAAATAGTTGGCAAACAAGAAATTAAACCCCACCAACCGGCATAAACTTCATAATATAAATTAATTTTACCTAAATCTTATAAATTTTTGAATGGGATTTCATTGCCGGACACCTTTTCTCCTTTGTATCTTTGATTCAATCATGGGATCATAAAAAAGGTAGCCTTTGGCATTGCCATGAAAGTTCCTCCCTTGTCTAGAACTTGAAAGCTTTTTTTTTTTTTTTTTTATGCTGTAAGGTTGTCATGTTCATTTGGTAGGCTCTAAAGGGGACTGATCTTCCATGGTCAGAATCTCATATCATGCCACTTTTCTACAACATCAAGCCTCTCCTAGCAAATCAAATTATTGGGTATTGATTTAAAAGTACGGGGAACTCCATGAATGGATTGATAGTATGCCCAAGGATCATTTTTTTAATGACAATGATCAATGCATTTATATCATACACCAACAAGGAACTTTTGTTTTTTGTTATGGATTCATGTTTTGGTTGATATCCTATCCAATCCGTACTACTCAAAATTATGTGGATAATAAATTTTTTGGCATGAAAAATGATGAATTTAATATAAATTAAGTAGAATTATTTGTATAGGATTTTCTAATTTTTTTCATTTATTTGGTTCATATTTTTTATTAGCAATGTGTGAATCTGAACTTGTAGAAGATAGAGGATCTGAAAAATGTATCCCAATTAATTAAAATATGCGAATTAACATAATTGAATTTTGATGAGTAATCAACAATAATTATATGATTTATTGATAAAATATTAAATTTTTAGTTTTAGTCACCAGAATTCAATTTTTTAATTAATTGAATTAAATTATGGATTCAATTTTTTAAAGCTAAAATAATAAAAAAAGAAACCCTAAACTTTACCATTTTATTTTGATAAGCTTTTATATTTTTATTGAACCAAAATAAGTCCTTTTTATTTATTTTGTACTCAAATAAACTCTTAAATTTTAAATTGTATAAAAATAAATTTTTATTTTTTAATTTGTAGCTAAATAAACAATTAATATTAATCAATTTTTTGTTGAAATAAGAACATATTTGAATATAAATTAAAGAATAAAAACTTATTTTAGATACAATAAAATATAAATATTTATTTAAATAATATAATATAATTTAAAGATCCTTTTAATATTTTAATAATTATTTTAATATCTTTGACATGATAAAAGAATTGACACAAATAGAATCATGGTATCATATGGTTGAAACTGAGAAAGTTAAAGATGTTCATCAAAGACTATATACAAATTGTGTAATTTAAAGGTGAAATATAATTTCATATTTTCTCATAAACTCTAATAAAAAAGCTAGCTACAAAGTTCTAAAACAAAGGAGATCTTCGTGGAATCCCTTTCCTACTCCTCCTTCTATAAGAATATGGAGACTGATTGACAGGCTTGAATGACATTCTTTCACACTTTATTTTGTTGGGTTGCCTTCTGAAATTCCCCTCAATATTGATCTGCAATCAAAATTTTAAATTAAAACATGTCTCTGATATTATATATATATATATATAAAGAAAATTAAACAAAATCAATGATATAAATATAATATATATGTACCATGCATTCGATAGAACAAAACTTTGAAGTTGTGGCCGGAAGCAATTGCCAACCACATGTTTCACACTTCGGTATAGAGTTGGAATTGTTTGGTCGCTGTTCTGTTTGCCCTCTTTGGTTAACATAAACAACTTTGCAGTCATTGTTTATGTAAGATTGGATACTTGATGCATCAATAAGGTTACGTATGTCATCAACTTTAATTGCCACTTGATGTGAGGTTTTGTACACCTAAAAAAATCAAGGGTATCACAAAAAAAAAAAGAATTAAATTCAGGCTTATGAATAAAAAGATACGTTAAAATCTAACACTTGATCAAGTCGATTCATGCAATAATTTTTGAGATATAATCAAGCTGAAGGGAATTTACTTGAAGAATTTGGTGAGACATATGTTTATTGGATTTCAAGCATCCTTCACAAAGGATCAATCCCGAACAATCTAAACAAAAGAAGGTATTTTTGGAGGCGTGGCTCTCACACAAGGAATAAAACTTGGCTTGCAACAATGGCATCAACCAACAAGGTGTAAGCTTATTCTGTTCCTCCATTGTTAAATTCTCGTAGACAGATGGTTGTAAAATTTTTGCCAGGCTCTCTCTTTCAATATAAAACTATGCGGATTCTAATACCAAAGTCATGTTTATATATATATATATGTAGCTTTCCTTGTAAAATCCTAGTTGTAGGAGGACTAGGACAAATTTTTTAGTTTTCCTGGTTGTGGTAGGATTACTTACTATTTCCCATATTTTGCAGGAAATAGAAAAGCAGGAGGATTATCCCAATAAGGTTATATCTTCTCTGGTTTCCTGTTATTTTCTTAGACTTCTTGAATCAAATAATTGTTAATTTTGATTCACAACTGAATATCTCAAAGTTAAGAGAATAATCATGACCAATTGACCATAGAACTAAATCAAGAACAAACCTTAATTACCTCAATAAATTCGAGGGAGACTACATTTTTGTTGTTGTATAAAATCTGTCTCGAAAGTTACAAGGTAATTAACCCTATTTTATAAAGTTATATGCTAAACTTTTCTAGTCATCCTGAAGATTTTCCCTGAAATTGAACTACCGTGCAAAATCTTGCATCAGGTTTTGCTTTTTTGATCAACTAGAACATGAAATTCAGGAGATGAGATTGTCATCAGTGAAGCAATGGAAGATGATTTGGAGAATGGATTTGTTATCAGTTTGTTTTTTTTTTTTCATTTATCTGCAAATATTGCATAGTAAATAATGGATGGTTTGGTGTTTTGGTGATTTAGGGGCCCGGAATTCGAGGGTGCGATTGTTGGATTTTGAAGGGAGAGTGGTCAAGAAATGGAAAGAGCGGTTAAGGCAGCCCAATAAAACATGAATTGGCAAGTAAACTTTATTCAAAATCACTGAGATTCAATTTGATCGTTCAAGACTTTGTTGTTTGTATAAAATAATGTCAATGTACAATTCATGTATATAATAATGGGTTGAAAGTAGCAAGAAGTTACAAAGAAGGAAGCAGCCAAAGATTTAAGAGAGTTGAAGAGAAGGATAGGAACCAGGACAAGAAAGCCATAGCAGCAGACAACTGATATCTGCTACATAACTTTGATGGGCAATTTGACTTGCCAACATCGACCAGGAGACTTGTTACACTAGCAGTTGAGCAGGCTGCTGCTAGTGAGAGAAACGACAAGGCCTGCAATCAGATGCAACACAATTTTTCCATCAAGCTGTGAAAAATGATAACATCAGGGGAATGATAACAAAGCAAAAACCTTGTTACATACCCAGTCTCCCACAATGACGATCAGCAGTACCCTTGGTTGTCGTGGTAAGCGTTTAATAAACACAGAATATGCATCAACCAATGCTAATGACACACTCCATGGAGTTACTAAACCCATGACTGTTACCAAGTAGCTGCAAAAAGATTTAAAGAAAATAGGAAATTGATTAATCGCCCAACAAAAACATAAACATTATCTTCTGTATAGTTACATCTAAGGAGCAGTCCAACATTGTAGTTTCTACCTTGCAATTAATCAAACAACACCATAGACCAGGCAAGTTGAGACAACAGGAAGGCTTTAACCATGGCTATTCTTTGTCATTCAGCTTCTATTAGTAGTGCAAAGGTTTTGAAATTGCTAGAACAGAAAAGAAACAGGTCATGTACATACCTTGAGTAAGCATAATGGTTTTAACAACTCTAATTGTTGATACTCCGAATTTCATATTGTCTTAATCAACTACATTATCATCCTCATCCGAACTTGATAGTTTAAGCTATGGAAAGCATTTGATCTTTGCATAGCCCTTCATCCAAAATAAAATGCACATGATTCATTTGGTTCACGTGCCTCACCCCTTTGCTTCCTCAACCAAAATGGAAAGGAAAATAAATGTTTGATCACTTCTCAAAGAAAATTTTCCCCTTCCAATCATAAATGGCACCTTTATCACCAGTCATCTATAAGCAGCAGTCTCAAGACAGACCAAGATAGCCTAACCTCAATCCATATCGTAAACAAAATAGTTGATTGATCATCATCATGATCATTGATAGCCAATATTAAAAGCAGATGAAGGCATTAAAAGCTGACAATGAATTAAATTCCAAGAAAATATCAGAAACAAAGACAAGGGTATTGAAGATTAAAGGCCAAACAGAGAAAAAACATCGAGAAGAATTTTAAACTTTGGCAGTTACCTGAAAGAAGTGTAGCTATAGAATTCAACATCCAAACACATGAAGAGAAGTGAAGCAGAGGAGAAAATGGTTTGTCCCAAATGAAGAGCCAAGCTAGCGCTTGTTCCCAACGTCCCTGGCACTTGCTCCATCATGCTTCATGTCATCTTATCTCTCTGTTTCTTCATCTTTAACTTTAGTTTCCCAAAAAAAGAAAAAATAAAAGTTGGAAAACCCAACACAAAACAGTGGCCAAAGAAAATGGAAACAGGCTGAAAGAGAAGAATTGGACTTGAAAATTTTGAAAAAAAAAAAAAACCTGTCTTTGGTTTTTGTTTCCTATGATAAACAAACTGGAAGAGAAAGAAGAAAAGAGAGGAAAAGATGAAACACGGTTAAACTCAAGCTATTTCATGGAGGAAAATCATGTAATGAAGAAATTTCGACATTTGAGTCATATACAGATTAAGTCAAGTTTTCTGAAAAGTACAAGTTTGAATGAATTGTTTAAAGATTAGTTTAATTTGACAAGTTGAGTTCATGTTTTTGAAACATACAAAGTTGACTGCCGGGCCAGACAGTATGAACCCCATAAAAGGTTGTAAAGTTAGGTTGATCTGAACTTAATGTTTGAACATCTAAAGCCTAAAACAGTGACATGAACCTGTACATTTCATGATTCAATCATTTTTAAGCCAATATTCTTTCATTGTTTAAATATTGCCAAACAAGAACCTCGTGCCAGATTTCTTAAGTGTCTGCCATTCTTTATCTGTTTTTTTATTAAGTAAATTATTAAACAGCAAATCTTAGCATGTTCTCATGTGTTGCTTCGAAGGGAAGGTAATAAACTAATATGAGATGGCCGTTTCTTTCAGCAAAAGGCTTCTCATGTGTAATTTGAGTGGCCTTAGCTTCGTTTTTCTTTTATTTTTCTGCTTTCCTTTATTGTTTCTTGTTTTCCTGGCGTTTTACTTTTTCTCATGCTTCTCAATGGAAAGCCACTGATTTTATACCAATGAAAAACAATACTTGCATTTACCTTAATTTATCTGAACCAATAAAGTACCATAAGCGAGAATAATGAAAGCCAAAGAAGAACAAAATCTTTTTTAAGCAGTATTAGCCTGCACCAGAGGTGATACGAGCACCACAATGAAGAACTCAGGAATAGAATCAATCACATCCCGTTCAGCTTGATCACTTTCACAAGGTTGGAACTCGGAAGTTTGATTACCTCAATTCTTAGTACAAGTTATAGTAGTTTGGCGAGAAACCAGTTCTGGTACATGAAGCAGGGAGTTAGGGTCTGTTCAGGAAACTTTGGAAGATTGTAAGAAGCCAACATAGTAATATACAAAGAAGATAAAAATCTCAGTGCTTCTCATTGCAAAGTTTAGCAACCGCTTCGAATTACCAAATCTGAACCTGAGAATAAACACATTCATACAAGAGCTCTCTATGAATCAAGCCGAGAATACCAGATACCAGTGATCTTCACATCCTTTGGAGTCTTGGCACCCAAGTCAGTGTCAGATGGCTGAACGCTCTCAAACTCACCAATTACTTCTCCAATCTCAGGCTTGCTCTTGGTAACACCCAAGGTGATTTTCCCTGATGAAGATGCAGCACTCTTGTTGTTCTCCTTAGCTAGTTCTTCCTCATCTCCTCTTCCTCCAGCGGGCAAAGCAACTGCATTGTTTGGGTCCAAGAAAGATGAACCACGGTAGGATGGTACAAGAAAATCTCCTCCAAAGCTCTCAGGTTTACAAGAAAGTCTCCTCCAAAGCTCTCAGGTTTGCCTGATGCCACCAATTGTTTGATGGTGAAAAGGAAGGGCACATGTTCACCACCAGGAAGCTGAACTCTCACAGCAGCATAATCAATTCCATCTTTCTCCTCAAATTTGACTCTGCTATCAGCAGATACTTCGAAAGGTCCCTCGATTTCATCAAGGGTGTAGGTTAAACGGGTCATGAGCTTGGTTTTTTGGAACTCTGGAGGGGCATTCTTGTTAACCCCTTCAGCCTTGACAGTGAAGGAAGTAGGCTCTAAGCAGAACTTCTTGGCGTAGTATTTGCCAGGCTTGAAGGCAAACGAGTCAACACCACCATCGAAGGTTGGGCACTAGTTAGCAGTTCCAGTTCCCTTTACTTCCATGTACGTCTTGCTCTGGATTTCATCAAAGGTTAGTCTCTTTGGAACTCCTTCAGCGCTTGCTCCCTTTAAAAGAAACAAGTGATTGTTACATAATACTCAGATCATAATCCAATAAACTCTTTCTTCTCAAAATTGAAATGAGAATGAAAAAGGTTCAGCAAGATGAATGCATTTTAGAATCAGATCAGCTTCAATTAGTCCAGGAGGTAGAACAATATTTTCAAAAGCTCATATCTTCAAAGAAGTAGTCTCTTCTCTTAAGGTCATATAGCAAATATTAATATATCATAAGGGCACAGTAAACAAAGAAATAGAAATTTGAGGTTATTCAGAGGTGATAACACTTAGAAAAGCTCCCGTGCAAAAGAATTCAGTTCATTTCCCGCACAAAGCTTTGCTTACTAAACAATTAAACCCGAAAACAGATATGAAATCAAGCCAAAAAAACTATACCGAGACAACAAGAGCAGATGTAGCCAGAGCGAAACCAGCTATCTTGGTAGCATCAACACATTTTTGAGCCAAGTCCTTAAGGTCAGTTTGCAAAGAGCAAGTCAGCTTAGCACCAACAGGCTCCAAGCCAAAGGCCTTAGGAACGCTCTGGGAGGGCCTGAGCTGCACACTGGTCCTAGATGGTACACCAACCTTGGTTGGTTGCATGAGGGTAACTGCTGCTTGTAGTGAGGTTGCCGTGGTTCAAACTTTGCAAAGAAGCCCATCTGTGTTCGTGTCAGGAAACTTGGTAGTTGGAACCTCCAAAAAGGAGTTTCGTTTAGACTTTCAGGGTGAGTGGGAAAATTTTGTGGCAAATGTTTTGGTGGCATAGGGGTGAGTAAGATAAGTGGATAGGATAAGGGGTGTTGTCATTGGTGGGATGAAGCAAATGTCTCTGGTGTAAGTTATGCCACGTGGCGATTATGTCAAGTTGATAAAGATTCTGGTAGTGGACTGGATGACGTGGAGGAAGTTGAGATTCGTAGGCATTGGAGTTGGATTTTAATCAAATTTTGCTTGGTTGTCCTTACTCCACAGAGGCAGCTCAGTGTCACCTCAGACTAAGGTGAGGGGGCCAACCAAATCATTCTCGTCAGCTTCTTGCCTATAAGATTTTCATGTGGGTTCTAATTGATGATTTGGACCTTCAAAGGTAGCACAAACCGAAAGAATTCAAAGCCCAAATTCAGGCAGGTTGCAATCAAGGCACAATAACCGTTTTAAGGAAAGGACAGGTGGTTGGGGTCTTATAAAAGGTAGGCCGGACAGGTGGTTGGGGTCTTATAAAAGGTAAGCCCAATCAAGAGACAGGTAAAATTTTATGGCCCATGCAGGTCTCGAACCTGCGACCTTCGCGTTATTAGCACGACGCTCTAACCAACTGAGCTAATAGGCCATGTTGTTTGTGGTGTCATCTTTATTATTAAAAAATCCAACTTTAGAAATAATTTGCATTTTCATCTTTAATCTGAAGGTTAACTGCTCAAAAATGAAATTTTCAATCCTACAGAAATCGCTTCAAACCTTAATTTTTGTGGATAATAAAGAAAAGCAGTCAGCTCAGAAGTGGTTGAAAGGTTAATCACAGGTAATCCTCATTAAACCCTAAACCATCATCATCATTGCTTTCTTTTTTATTAAAAATAAAAATCCTTTTTGTTCAAAACATAGAGATTCAGAATGAGTAGGATTGATCATCACAATAAATCAGGCTGTTTCATTAATTCTTCATCATCATTGTGCCTTGCGACCTTTCAATTTACAAAATCAAATTGAACAAAAAGAAAAAGATTTTTGATTTCTTTTTGAATAAAAATACAAAAATAAAAAAAGGAAAGATGGATTTCTCTCAGACAAATGCCTCGATTTGTCATCACGATTTGAAAGAATGGAAAAGAATCTGACTCGTCATCTTTTTTTATCATCACTGAGAAACCCCATTGATAAAAACAAAGAAACTCTCTTTTAAGCTATGAAAAAAGAGAAAGAAAAAAAGAAACCCCCTTTTTTGTAGCTTCCTGGAATTTGAGAAAGACGTTGATTGAAAATTTTGAGAATTTTAAAGTTGGCAGCTTTAATGGTGAAAAGCTCATGGCTTTCTTTTATAAGGGAAAAGTGATTTAGGTTAGGGATTTATTTTTTTACTTTAATCTTTACCCTCTATATTTGACAAATTTACCAGAAGAGCCATTGGATTGGGTCCATATCTGTCCTTCATGGTTTCAGGATTTTGATGAAAGCTTGACACATTGCCAGACAATGAACATTTGAAATCTTCATCATAACATTAAAATTTTTAAGTTTTTTATTCTTTTTTTTTTTTTTTTTGAAGAGCAGCAACAATTCAGCATTGTACTGAGTGAGTGGCTAGACGAAGTGGAGCAGCAATGACCAGACAGGGTTAGACTAACAGAAGGATAATGCCAACCGTGTTTAATATTCCATGGCTCTGATTGAGGGAATTCCGGAATCCGCCCGAGGCTCGGATGTGCTATTGTAGTAGGTAACATCCGATGACGAGGCATATCAAAACACCAACCCAGCTGTCCTTCAAGGGGTGTGCAAACAAGATTGGAGCCACAACCAGCAGAAGAATCAATGATCCTGGCATCTCCAAGCACAAGCACTGAGACGCCTCACACTCAAGCACAAGCAGTGAGGGGTTTTTGTTTGGATATAGTTATGGATAAGCATAAACTATTCAGGTAAAACGAAATGCTGAAGGCATGTGATCTGAGCAATGACATTCATAGAACGAAGTACCACAGACAATTTGTACGAGTTCTAATTGGGAAACGTCTAGTCTACAATGAAACAACATATAGCAGGCAGTAGGGAATCGATAATGAGCATGCTATTTTAATCATCAGTTAATTGCAATTATATGTTCTATGGTAGTTTATGAGGTTCATGGAGTTCAATTCCAATAGCAAAATGGAGAAATAGACTAGAAATGAATCACAGTCATAGTACGAGTAAAAGTCCAGTCATTTATAGCACAGGGTCACAGTCTAATAGTTCCATCAAAGACATTGCTTCTGCAATTCTGACAAGGCGTAGTTCTTATACAAATTACAAAGAAGTTAAGGTAGACTGAACTCAAAATCTTCACCATATAGCTGACAAACTAAGACAGTCATATTCTCAAGGCACAAGTGGCAATGGCTCGTACAAATCGCCAATCTGAACTGCATCTGCCGCAATTAAAACGCCCAACTAATCCAAACAAAACCCAGCATTATATAAAGGTGAAAGAAGAGAACTTTACATAGCAGAAAATGAGGCGACCCATTTGAGAAAAGAAGTACCAAAACTAAGACCTCCAAGTTTAGTTTCATCATTGATCAATTTCTTTGCAGATAGGTTCAGCTCATTGATATCAGAACTGATCATCAATTCTCCAGCAACAGGATCAGTTTTCATTGCCAAATAATCCATTCTCCCCATTTCTAACTTTTTCTTTCCCGCAGATCTAACTATAACAAATAGGAATTCCTCAGAAATGAAAAATGTTACGATCTTTTTAAGGAAAGAAGAATATAGTGACAATAAGGGACAGGCATAAAGATTTGAGACAAGAGGTGACAGACAGGCAGATACCTTTTGTTTTGTTTATTAGTTGCTTTGTTTGATCTTGTCTGATTGCTTTAGGATGCAAATTTACTTTGATAGTAAATTTGTTACACACCATTCGAGCATTATTAGGTATATTTCCTCTTCCTAATAATGTCGATCACTTAAAAGTGAAGTAAAACACTGTTTATGTAGGTGCTTAGGATGCCATTGCTAGATTTGATCACTTTTTAGCATTAAAAAGGTAAGGTTATCCACTTATTTCCAACCAAGAGAATGCTGGAGACCCCTCAACCAATTATCCAAAGACAAAAAAAAAATAAAAAATCTGAGGGGCCAAGTCGGCAATCTAATTATACTTTTGGAAGATAAGACATTCCCTGTCAAAGTCAGCAATGTTACACAGGAATTTGGCATTTCGCTGACCATACAAACAAAAGGTGCGTAATGCGGATCCATCCATGGCCTGGCCTGAAAGTGAATTCTGATTATAGTGTTCTTATTATACCAAAGTCATTTTAGAATTATTGATTTTGGCAGATTTCAAACAATATTTGAGTGGGAATCTCTCACCAAACAATTCTACTTCTCAACATCTTTGATCCTACAGGGCTCCCACCACCATTTTCGTTCTCTTTTAAGGAGAATTTATTAGTTGCTGGGATTCAAAATGGTCCCCAATTTGGGTTCCCTCAGAAGGGGGCCTCTAGACACTTCTAATTGATTGGGAGATGAAAAATAAACACACGAAGAAGCAACTTTTTCCCAAAATTACGAGTGATAACGATTTTGAATAAATCGGATTTAATTTGAATTTTTTAAATAATACATAATATTATAAATTTTTAAAATTTAATTTGAATCTAAATTGATATTTTTAAAAATTAATTTAATCTGAATTCTATCGATTTTTAAATTTTGATTATTTTTATTTTTTATATATTATTTTAATAAAAATTTTAATATATTTAAATAAATTTATATATATAATTATTATTTTATTTTATAAAAATTTTAATAATATAAAAATTAATAAAAATATATAATTTAATTTAATTAAATTTTTTAATTTTTTATATGCTAATCTAAAATTTAATCTTAATTTAATATTCATATTTAATCCGAATAAACTAAAATTTTAATCTATAAGAATCAAATATTATAATTTTAAATTAATTTTTTATTTTTATAATTTTTTTTTCTGACCCTTACCCACAACAATCCAAAAAGTAATCATCATGGCCCTGATACTTCCAATTTCTAAAACTCCAAAACCTAACCACAGCAAATGCCCCCACTTCAAAAAAACACAAAGGTTGAAGCTTTTGCTAACGAGTCAGGCATTCCATTTCCTCGTCTGCTTTCTCCACTAACTCCATGGGCCATGACCAGCAATTTTCATCTACACCCCCATGCATCAAAAGATGAGTCCAATCAATAAAATTATTGTAAATAAATAAATAAAAAGAAACAGATTTTATTTTATTTCTTTGTTGGGCTTTTTTTTTAACGTGGCACATTAATCCATTAAACAATAATTTGACGATTATATTCCTGTGCGGGAAGCTCTATTGTTGAGGAGGATGGTGTGACTGATGCCTTCCTCTTCGCGTCTCCGTAACCGTTGATTCGTGAGAATCACAAACTTGAGTCTTAAATTTACATCCAAACCTTCTATTCAACGATCCTCTCCAACCACCGCCACCTGGACTTTCCTTCTCAATCTTCCGGATCACTTTCTTCATCGTCGAACAGTCCCTCTCCAGCTGATGCACCCGCGTCCTGATGCTATCCATGTCCAGCCGCAGCACCTGATTCTCCCTCACGGCTGCTCTCCACGTGCTGCTCCCTTCCTCTCCACGTGACACCGAAACGGTCCCCACCACCTTTTCCTCCTCTTCTTCCCCGTCCTCTTCCTCTCTCGTCGCCTCCGACAATCTTCCCGCATTCATCGGCGCCGCTTCCGCCGCCAACAACGTCCCTGCGATCGCGTGACGCAGCTGCAACTGCTCGAAAAACAACACTTGCACGACCGCGCGTAAAGGTAACCGCTCGTTTTGTGCCGCGTGCGTGCACGCTTCGACAGTCATCTTCTGACAATCCAACACTCCGCATATCTGTTCCCGCTCCGATTCCGGTAACCAAGGATGCGCCTGCAAAGAAAAAAAAAACCCTCAATTAACTAACTTAAATCATGATTTTTAAAATTTAATCCCTTGCTTTTTCTAATTGTACCTTGAGGTACACATCAATAGCTCTGTAAAGTCGGTCGTCGAAGTTTCTAGCTTGATCAGGAAGGGAAATCGCGAGATTATAAAACTTCTCCGGCTTTAAATTCGCGTCAGATGCGATCTCTGAAAGGTAACCGTCGATTAATTTTCCGACAAGCATCAATGCCGGCGGTGCAACGCTATTGTTATTAATAATGTTGTTGTTGTTGTAACCTCCGGTATCGGTTTCGATTCCTGCAGCGTTTCTCTCTTCTAATCCCTCCAAAAAATAGCCTAAAATCCTCTCAATGCAATCAACGTTATAGAGCGTTTCGTTGAGATACGAATAGCTCGGAATTAACAGATCGTCTAGCGTAGCTTGCTCGAGCTGAAATCCGATCTTCTTCTCCAACACGGCTTTACAAGATTCCGATGCGTTTAAAATGTTAGCAGTTCGTAACAATCCGAATAAAAACCGCGTTGCGGTTGATGTTCTGGAGGGGCTCTTTTCTAACGGAAGGTTTGAGATAATAGTTTCCAAAAGCTCTCTCTGTTCACTCTCTGAAACAACAGAGGCCGACGACGAAGACGGTTTCCGATTTGACCGCGACGTTCCAGGAACGTGCTTCTTAGCGTAACACATAAGGCAGCTTTCGATGATTTCTGGACTCAGATCTCGCGTTTTCAAAGTTAAAATCAAGCGTTTAAACAACGGCAAACTCAGCAATGCCAGATCTTCGAACCAAGACTCTACATTGTTCGTCCGAGCTTGACTTTTTCTTCCCAAACCAGTTTCGACTCCGTTCCACAAAGCTTGACTCGAAGCACCCTTAACTTCAACGATTCCGTCATTAACTGGCCAGCCAAACAGAGTCGGATCTGTAGAAGAAGCTCTCGAAGCGATCGAATCAATCAATCTTTGAACAATGCCTAAAGATTCTGCTAAAGACATCACTAATTCGCATGATTTTAACGCTTTGATTAAATCTTTAAGGCTTTTAAAAACGGATTGAGAAAGGAATCGTTCGGTTTTAGAAATAAGGTTATCTTCGGAGAACTCATCAGTCATTTCGAGAAACTCGGCGGCGCAAATGAGAGGAATGACAGTGGATGAGGAGAGATCGATCTTAACGCCGTAACAGAATTTGGCGGCGGCTTCAAAAGTTTCCGAACCACCCGGAAAATCAGGTAGAGATATTTGGTATTGATCTTCATCTGCTTCACCATCTTCTTGTTCTTCTTCGATTTCCGTCTCGGTTTCACGTTGCTTTTGTTTGGTAACGGTTGCAGTAGATGATTTCCGACCTTGCTCTGCTATTAATTGATCAAGCTTTCGGCTTTTGGACATCAAAGGAAACTGAAAAAAAAAATAAAACAAAACAAAACAAAATCATTGAACTAAACAAATATTTGTAAAAAGATTTAAAAAAATTCAAAGCTTTGTTGCTAACCTTATGGAGATGAAAGCTCATGTCATCAACTTCAATTACAATGTCACTTGGTAACCCAGTAGCGCAAAACCTGTAAACAAAAATGAGAAGAAAAAAAAGTTAATAAACCTTTTTTTAGGGATGGGAAATAAGAGGTTGAAAATGAGAATCTAACCATGCTTGGCCTTTAGAGCTACGCTTGTCAGCTGCCATTTTTGTTGTTGAAGTTAAGAATCTTTGAGTGTTTGAAAATCTGTTCTGAAAAAACTAAAGCAGATCCATTCTGGGTTTTTGTTTCTTTTCAAGTTTTCGGGTCTGAAGAAGAGAAAATAATGGAAAATAATGAGACGTGTTCGTGGGATTTTATGATGATTAGGGTTTTGGGTTATGGGAATTGAGAAGAAGGAAGCAACAATTGGTGGTATAAAAAGGGGGAAAGAGGATTGGAATCCTACAAAACTCAAACCGAGACAAACGAAACGTGAACAAATATCGATAAAGGAGGACCAAGGTTGTTAACAATTTTATAACTTTTTTTTTTCTTTCAATCACATCAAAGTCTAACGCCTTCGTAATCAGTTTAAATGATAATTTCATTCGAGTAAATTTTAATTTGATTATTATTTGGTCGTTGAATAAATTAAATTTAAATATTTTTATATATATAAATTAAATTTTGCGTTTGAATATATAATTTAATATAAAAGTTGAATTCATCTTTATTAAATAAATTTAAATAAATTCTGATTGCAATGACTTTGGAAGCTTTTTACAGCATAGCTGCGAGAGAGCATGGGATTTTTATTTGTTTTTCTTATATAGCGGCTGAAATATCTTAATCAAAGTTGGTACAAATTAAGCAGGAACCAAAAATCCCATATGCAAGAGGACAACATCTTGGCTTGTCTATCATACCTGTTAAATTGCTCTAGAGGCCACACCCAATTGAAAAGGTTTATTTTAATTATTAAAATTAAAAATTTAGTATTTTAACAATAAATTATATGATTGTTGATAATTAAAAAATTGATTCTTTGTTTTCCTCAAAGAATAATTAAAATTTTGGATGTCCAATTCTACAAGTATGAGATCCATTGGTTATGAATACAGTCATATGAATGTAAATGGCGACTCGCCAAGAATGCCCCACAGATTAAAAACTGGTTGATTTCAAGTTTTTATTTGATAGTTCAACCCCATTTTTTTTCTTTGTTTTCTCATTTTGAAAATTTGAAATTTCAGGTCTGAAAACAAAAGTATGGCGCTGGCTTCATTTATAGCAACATATCTACCATTGAACCCCTTTCCATGCTTGCATTTATGAGTCCATTAATGAGGTAACCCCAAGGAATGTTACTTAGTTAAACAGATTTGCCTATACAAATAAATGGTTCAATTTTCCATCAAGTATAAGGATTGAGGTAGATGAAATAGATAATAACGATTTGAATTGGATTTAATTTGATTTAATTTTTTTATAATAAATAATATTATAAATTTTAAAATTTTAATTTGAATTTGAATTGATTTTTTTTAAGTTGATTTAATTCAAGTCAAATTTTATAGGTTTAATTTGGTTCATTTTATTTTTAAAATTTTTATATATTATTTTAATAAAATTTTTAATATATTTAAAAAGATTTATATATAAAATAATTATTTTTATTTTATAAAAATTTAAAAATATATAAATTAATAAAAATTTATAATTTGATTAAATTAAATTTTTTTATTTTTTATATGTCGATTCAAATTTTGATTTAAATTTAATACATATATTTAGTATACAAACTTAATCCGAATCGATTAAAAGAATCAATTTGAATTAAATTTAACATTATAATTTTAAATCGATTTTTGGATTTTTTATTTTTTTTTCACCCTTAGGATTAGACATGAACTATTACTCCTTGATTCTTTCTTCTATCTTTTTAATCAAGGGTGTTATGTTCTTTGATTGTTCCAATGATGGTATAAGTTTCATTCAATTATTAAACTACTAATGCAATGATCAAATAATTGGGTCAAGTTGGTGGTGATGATGTCAAAAACAAGGGCTGTGGAAAAGGAGACTATGAAGCCTTGCTTGTTGAAAGCTGAATCTTCTGATCATAATTGCCTTTGAATGAGAATTGGAATATAGGGAAAATCATTGAAGAAGTAGACTAATGGAAGCACTTTTATTTCTGCATTTTTCATGTGTTTAGGTGACTAATCATTAGACAAAATGTACAAAAGAAAGATGGGGTAGTAGTTTCATTGTGGGTATCCATTGAGCTGCCTCTTTTGAACCCAAAGACAATAAAAAAGCTGCACTATCAAAAGCCAAATATTTTTAACAAAGGTCAGAACAATTGCAACTTTACTTTTGGATTTATGAAATCAATAATTCTAATGTGGGTCACATGTTTATTTTGAGGGGACATATGCTTGCCACTACAAGAGAAATCCAATGCCACTTTTAAATCATCATCCAATCTTTTTCAATTTCTTTCCATCTCTTTCTATGTTAATGCTTGCTGCTTGGAAGTTGAAACTCATCAGAAAATTTAACAGATTTGGGGTTAAAACCAAGGAGGCACAAAAACCATGACAGAAACCATCCAAAAGAAAACCAAAACCCCATGGAGACTAGTGGTGTTTAGGGTTAAGGGGAAATGTTTTCTGGCACCCTGCACAAGATAGTATCACTTTGATTTTTAATTCAATGATCCATACACCAGAAGTACATTGTTTGTAACAATCACTCTAAAGTGACATTTGATTAGGAAAATTCATATATATTTTTTAATTTTGATAATGAGTATTTAATTATCATATTTGGTTTAAAATAATTTGATTATAGAAAAAAGTTATGATTTTTAATAGTATCCAAAATTTTAAAATAAAAAATACACTTTTTCTTGTGACATTTTATGATTTTTAAAAAAAATTATTTTATTTTTAAAATTGATCTGAATAAAAAATTATAAAATAGTTATTATCATTTTAAAAAATGTCTAAAAGTCACTGAAATTTAGTTGTAAGTTTTTGTACAAAAAAAAATTTATATTATACTTAAAGGCATTTGACATGAAGAAATACCTTGAATAATTATTTTTTGTTTTTATAAATAGATTATTTAAAATATTTTTATACAAAAAATACTTTAAACAATCATTTTATATTTTAGGGTTTAATGTTAATATTTTTATAAAAATATTATTTAAGTCGTTTTATAAAAAAATCTATTTGAGTTTAGAGTTTAAAGTTAGATTATTTAATATATTTTCGTCGAGAACTATCTTTAATATTAATATTTTTATAAATAAATTATTTAAAGTATTTTTGGTTTAAAATTAACTTTAATAATACACTTTTAAAATAAAAAAAATTATTTAATACGTTTTTTATTTAAAAAATACCTTTAATAATCTTTTTTATTTTTTTAAAAAATTAGAGATTATTTAAGTTTTTTTTTTTGAAAAACATCTTAAATTATCTCTTTAAAAAAACAGAAACATCTTAAATAATATTTTATATTTTTTTATTAATGATATTTTATAAATAAAAATAATACTCATAAAAAAAATTTTTACTACTAAAAATATTATTTATCATTTTGATATTTATTATTAATAAAAATTAATAAAAAATTATCATCATTTATATTTTTAAAATTTTAATAATTATTTAAAAATTAATAAACATAAATTTTTTCTAACCAAATAAATCTAAACATAAAATATCTAAAAAATAAAAAAAAACCTCAAATACCACACTTTTTCAAAAATTACATTTTTATTAAAAATTTACGATTTCACGGATTCAACACCTTCTAAAATTATCCCTTGTCTCTCTTTCTTTGCATTTTACATTTATATATTAGCCAGCCCCACCATTACTAGAAGTCTGCAGAATCCCCTCTGACAAGCATCCAAAGCAATTATGAAGATTGCTGGGTCCCTGCAGAAGAAAAATCACGTACTGTAATTATTAATTAAAATAAAAGATTCATATTCAAATAAAATACACTGCCACTGGCACTTAATTGACAAGAAGATTAAGCTCGGCTTTGTTGGTTTGTTGTCCCTTGCTTTGCACCTTTCCAGGTTCAGTTTTTCAACCTCATCTTACCACTTTGGTCCCTTGCTTGTTTGTACAACAAAAATTTAAATGCCAACAATGAAGAAATGACAGAGTACCCATTTTCCCAATAGGTTGTGCTTATTGGGTGCTCAGGTAAGACATCTGCAAAGAAAATAACTAAAACCTGAAGCTGGAGTTATAGTTGCAGTTGCTGGTTGTTGATTGTTGTTAGTTGTCACATTATTTGCCGATGGGATGACAATGCCAGGCCATGATCGGCACATGCAGCGTTTTCCCTCATCTATGCTGGCATAGAGGTTAGACAGGTGCTTGCGGCAACCACCCCATGAGTACTTTCCACATTGCTTGCAATCCACCCTATAACACATGCTTTAGGAATTCTTTGATGTGAAGATTTTTAAATGTGATACTGATACTGATGTTGCTTCACATCTCTTAATCCTCTTTTCAGTTTTATAGTGGAACATTTGCTTTGATGTAATCGACCCATTTTATAACATTGTTGCTTGATTGGCTAAACAGGAGCTTAGTGTTGATTTGAATGTCAAGAAAATATCCCATCATAAACTGTATGTAGAGAATTGACCATGGTTAAAGTTTGGCAAATAGGTAGTCCAGAATTGATAGAGTTAAGCAATTGGTCCAATCACTTCAAATGTCAACCAGGGAGATTAATGAATTAAAAAGCTTGGCACTGTTTAATAGATTTTCACCAATAGCAACAAAGAATAAATCCACATATGATCATGGCATCACAAATTCCAATCAGCTTCCAAATGGAGGGATACGATCATCAGTTCATTGCAACTGTCCCAAAATTTTCACATGATCTACCATTCATGAACTGTGGTTGCATGTTGGATACAAAACTAGATGAGAGCTTTGCAAGATAAAAGGTAAAATACCAACCCAAATGCCATTAGAGAAAGAGTTTGTTCTTCAGAATAGGTCAGTTACGGATACAGGACACTGGAACATAAACTTTAGCTTACCATTACAGATAGCAGTAATAAGCAGAATAAGTTTAGCAGCTAGAGAAAAATCCATTCACATCAAGCATTGTAGTGCTACGGTTCAACAGCATACGCCAATGACAACTAATTTGTGCTGGGAATAACTAAGCAAGCATCACCAAAATCTATGACCAAAAGCATCAAGAGGCACTGCTGCCATCTCCTTTGTCAGATGATGGGTCAATTGCAGGTTTCTTTATTGAGCTCGATTCTACTGCTCCTGTAACGCGCTTCACTCCTCTTCCTACAACGCCAAGATGTGTGACTGCAGCAGCCCCATTTGTATGAGCAGTGGAAACAACGGGAGAATCAAAATGACCATTACTGTTAGCAGTAGCCATCTGTGAAGAGCTAACCGCAGCAGGAGATGCACTCTTCTCACTGCCCCTTGCCCTTGCAGTTGCAATTCCCAGGATTTCTGCAATAATTGACTTTGGGTTGGAGGCCAGCTGTTGTAGATCTTCAAGCTGCAAATACAGAAATAGACAGAATAATAAAGTAAGTTATAAATTAAGGTTTTAATTCAAACAGATAATCAAAATTGCACTTGCCTTCTTTTCCAGGTCTTCAGCAAGTCCAGCAAGTGTTTCAACTTCTGCTTCTTTATCTTTGACAGATTTAACAGTCTGAGAGCCGTTTGAGGACTGTTGTACACCATCATCCAATTCAGAGGCAGCCGAAGATGATGCTGATCCTGAGGAAATCTTTACTTCATTTGTGAGCCGCTGCAATCGAGACTTGCAAACCAAGATGGCTTTCTGACAGTATGGAATTGCTTCTTGGGGCTTTGAGCCAATTTCCAAACACATACATATTCGAAAATTTCTAAATTATGGCGTTAAGTAGCATATACAGAATCTGAATGAAATTGAAGGGTGGAATTAGGGGGATCCACATTTCTTTTTTGGCTTTATGTATTCACTGACCAAGATACCACACCATTTATTTGATCCTGGGATTGAGTACCACATAATGAGTAACAATCTCAATAACAAAGATTTTTCAACCTTATCAAGGATACAGTTCAGCTATTTGGCGGTGATCTGGTTCAACCAGCCGTTCCAAAATGGATAGAGCTTTCTGGTAGTCGCTGAGTGAAGATTCAATGTCCTCTAAAGAAGCATAACAGAAACAAAATTGATATTTTAGGTGAAATAAGAAAAGCTACTGTCAAAATTGGTAAAGAGGATTCCTCCCTTCCCCCACCCACCCCAAACAAGCACACACAACTAACCATAATGAGTAGTTAAGTACTGACCTCTTTCCAAAGCAACCTCAGCCAATGCTGATAAAACATCCACTTTCTCCATGGTGTCACCCAGTTGTTGTTTTTCAGCAATTGCCCTAGCAACATCTAGCATTTTCCATGCCAAATCCAGGTCAGACTCATCCACATCCTCATCTGCTTCAGCCACATCATCAGTGTCGCTATCATCATCTTCCTCCTCATCTTTGCCAGCTGAAACATATATTGAAATAAAGAAGTTGACATTTCAGTTTACGGCAACAAAAAAACATATGCAACAATGACTATAACATTGATCATAAAGCAGATACTATCTACAATTGACAACAAAGTGAATGAAAAGTTGGAAGTAGTATAAGTTCGGATTTAGTACCATCTGCAAGCAATAGCAAAATATCATGACATTCAAAGAGATTCAACTACGCTCAAGAATCTATGCTCAATTCAACTAGAGTTAAATAATCCCTTTAGGAATACATACCGCCATCTTGTTCAGAGTTACTTGATACAGAAGCAACTGAAAATTCAGGAGTTACAGCACTTTTAATCGACCCTTCTTTGTTTGATTCTTGTTGAGTCTCACCGTCCTTCTTTGGTACAGAAACCAAAGGATCAGCCTCCTCTTGAGCCTTATACAGAAGTGCACGCCCATAGAGATAGTAAGCATCGAGACATTCGATTGCAAGTTCACCATGATGCGAAACCCTAGTGTGAAATAAACCTAACTTTAAGAACAAAGAAACAATCTTGAAACATAACAAGTAAATTAAGCTACTAATGAAAAATCTCCAAACCTCCCTTTTTTCTCCAAATCAATGAAAAAAGTTCAATATTTTAGAAAAAAAATTTAAAAAATTGTAAAACCAAGCCCTAAACATGAAATTTAATTGTAATAATTCATTTCCATTTCCTAATGCATCAATAAAAAAAAATTACTTGGAAAATATTTATAAAAACAAAAGGAGATTATATGAAACTGAAGCCCAAGGTTCAACCTTATTTCAAGGGAGCGACTGAAGCAATCAGCAGCTTCGGCAAAATCATTTTCCTTAAAAGCCTTGGATCCTTTCTCCGTCAACTCATCTGCGAACTCCAGTGTCTTCTCTCGTTCAACATCCGAAGCAATTACAGAGCTTCCAGCATTGTTGTTATTGTTGCATGTCGACTCGGTGCCTCCTTGAACCGCAGATTCGATAGTGGCTTCGATTGAACCTTGTGTTTCTAGGGTTTCCCCTATTTTCTGGTCTGGAGTTTCCTCGGTCATTGTCACTGACGCCTCTGGTGACGCCGCAGCCGCCGTAACTTCTTCGTCTGCCATCACTTTTTTGCTTTAATAATTACCAAAAATTGAAAATAAAGGAAAATTGAAGTCCTCTAAAAACCCTTTGGCGGAAAATCACATAAAATTGGAGATTTAAGAGGGAAGACACGAACTTAAACGATGACGTTTCAATCAGATAAATCGATGAAGGGCATTTTCGTAATTGAGAGAAAAACTAGATTTTTTAAAAATTTATTAATGTCACACGATTTTGATTTCGAAAGAAAGATCAGGCTGTGAAAAAAGGAAAGCAAAATGGCTTCCACAATTTCGCCACCTGTAATCCACTCTCTCTTAGTCCGCTCTGTGCACAATGCGCACCGTGGACGATCCGTCAAGGTGCAGGTTAGTAAACCTTCGCCAGTGGTTACTCTTCCTAACCGAAGGAAGCTCCTGTTCTTTCTGACGACAACGACCGCATTGACAGTTAGAGAGCCGGCGTCGAATGCCGAAGATATCCCGTTGTTCGGTTTAAGGAAGAAGTTGAAGAGCGCGGAGGAGGAAGCGGTTGAGATCGTGAAGGAAGGGTTCGAGACTGCGGAGAAAGGGCTGGAGACGGCTGAGAAGGAGATTGAAACAGCGGAAAAGGAGATTGAAAGTGCCGTTAGTTTTGGCGCGTTGGCTCAAGCGGGTGCTGTGGCGGGAGCCGAGTTTCTAGGCGTTGTGGTGGGTACTTCTGTTGTTAATGGAATTTTAGGGCCTGGGGCCCAAAAATCTTGATTTTCTTGTATTTTTAATTTGATTTAAGTTTTTTTTTTTTTTGTTAATCGAAGTAGTTATTTATGGTAATTGTTTTAATTCTGGTGCAATTTAATTGATTTGACCCATAATGATGGATAAATAAAAATAGTAATTAATTCAGTTAATTTTTATTTTTTAAAAATTAGTGATGAAAACAATTGACTTGATCAAATTTTTTAATAAATGTTTAAATACGTTATATATAATATAAATATTTTTATTATATTTTAAAAAATGATAAAATGATATTATTGATAAAATTATTGAAAGTTTTATTGGATGAAAATTGTTACGAAATAACTAACCAATAATTGGCTCGCAATCCATTGAAATGGTCACGCCAGCTGGCTTGTCCCTTTTTGCATTGTGAACTCTCAGCTGACTAGCTTCCAGCTTCGTGATCAGCTTTGTATCCTCCTTGTTTGGCTCAGCTTCTGTCTTCTCTCTTCTTGGCTCAGCTACTAACTCCATTTTTCTCTGCTCCAGCTTCATTTTTAGCTCAGCTTCTTTCCCTTTTGAATTGGCATTCAGCTCCTTGTAATGACCACCATCTGTTCTCATCATGCTGCCATTGTTGCCTTCTGCCCTGTTCATCACATGATCTTGGACTGAAACAGGGGAGCTAGTTTTGATTTCAACCAGTGAAGTTAGACAGTCTCCTTCCCTTTGCTTTATAATCGATCTCTGGCTTCTGATAACTGACTTCTTCACTGTCTTAATACTTGAAGATTTCTCACTTTCATCATCCGAGGACGGACATGAGGAAGCCATTGGTGATTCGATGCACATGCCTCGAACCCAAGCTCTAAGCCTGATGTGTTCTAGCTCTTCCGCAACTTCGGTCATGGTAGGCCTCATGTGCCGATGAAAAGCAAGGCATCTAAATGCTAGCTCCGCCACATTATGAATAGATGAAAGTGTCCAAGCATCCCCATGCGGGTCAAGGTATGGATCGACTATCTCATCCACGCACCCTCTTGCTATCCTATCAATAGCAAGTGTAGCCAAGTGTACCTCACTATTAGGACGTGAGAAGTCTACCACTTTCATTGCAGTTATTATCTCCACAAGAACAACCCCAAAACTGTAGACGTCACTTTTATCTGAAAGATGAAAGTTCTGATGGTATTGAGGATCAAGATACCCTGGTGTTCCTTGAGGGTCAGTAGAGATGTGGGATGATTCAGTCATCCCAAGTCTGGAAAGACCAAAATCAGCTACCTTGGATCTATAGTTGTAATCCAAGAGTATATTGCTAGACTTTATATCTCGGTGAAAAATAGGTGGATTCACAGAGTGAAGATAGGCAATAGCCTTAGCAGTTTCAGCAGCAGTGGTGAGCCTTACTGTCCATGGAAGTCCTTCACCCCTCTCTCTTCGTAGATGCTGGGATAAAGTTCCGTTAGGCACATATTCATAGACCAGGATAGGTTCACCCTCCTCTACGCAGCAACCTAAGAGGCGGACGAGATTCGAGTGACTGACACAGGAAAGGAGCTTAATCTCATTCATTACTTGGTCAATACTTTTAGGGTCTTTATATCTGAACCTTTTTATTGCAACCCAGTCATCATTGCGGAGTTTTCCTGAATAAACTGTGCCATAGGCTCCAGTACCCAGCCTTTGTTTATCGGAGAAGCCATTAGTAGCTCTTTCTATTTCTCTGTATGTATAGAAAGGAACACTTGAGTTGCCTGCAGCTTCACATAGAAGGCGCTTTGCACTCGTCTGTTTGTTGAAGGAATTAGAATACTGTCGCACTCGCACTCGCCCATAACAACATAAAAGAGCTACACCACCCAATAGCAAAGCCCCAGCAATAAGCCCTAAGAACAAAACAACAGGGTTCATCGGTTACTTCAAGAAGACAATATAGAGGCTATAAGAAGAATTATGATCCCTGTCTTGATGAAAGTAACTCTAAAATAAGTGACTTGTTACCTCCAACCAGAACACCAACTCTTATAGTTCCTCCGCATTTGCCAGACATGTATTTTGAAGCATTGCATTTAGAAACTGATAAATATAGCATTCATAAAAGATGGCGAAAGAGTAGTTAGTGAATTCATTCAATAACATCAGAACAGAAGACCATGCATTTAAGACATTTCAAATGCTAGCAGCAAATGCATGTTTTATTGTAGTGACAGCAATTTGATTAAAAAAAAAATCTGGTTTTCACCTCTCCGGCAACCGCCGCTTTGTTTGAACCCATCTCCTTCAAACCCTTGATGGCAAAGGACTTGAAGCCCACCGTACTGTTTCCCTTCTTAACATATGTACAATTAGCATTTCTGTCACAATTACAGTCCCCTTTAACCCACCATTCCAAGTAAAGTCGTTCCAACACCAAAGAAACAGCGGAATTGCTTGCCGAGTCAACTACAATCGAAGTCGACGAGAACAAAAAACGGCACTGCGTGTTATTGACTTCTTCGAAATTCAACAACCACCCACCATCACCGCCGGAAAAACAACTTATATTATCACTCTTAGCAACGCAAGATTTAAGCTCGAATGATCTTTCTAAAAACATTGGGCTTGTTTGACAAGGAGCTGGTAAGGGCTTCGGACAGTTTTGGAGAAGAAGATTATTAGCAACCGAAATAGCGTAGTTTTCACTGAACAAAGCGGAGAGTGAAGCAAGCGGTCGGCCGCATTTGGTGGGAAGGTCGATGATGATGTCGGTGGAAGTTATGTTCAGGACATGGAATTCTCCAATTCTGACCCCGGTTGAGCTGCAGTTGAGTTGGATGGTGCAACCAGGTGAGAATCCGAATGGAAACGGTAAGGATCGTGAGGAATTGCTGGTTTCGCAGGAGCCCTCGCACTCCTTGTTCTCTGAGTCAACTGAGTTTGCTTGCGAGACAACAAAAAGAACTGCTATTGTTATTGTTAAGAATGATAATATTGCTTGGTACAACATCATTTTGGATTCTCCAAGAGAAAACAGAGCAATCATCAGCTTCCTGAAAAGAAGAAGATATATATATATATATATATATATGTAACAGAGCTTGATTAAGGAAAACAGAGTGAAAAAAGTAAAAAAAAGAAAATTTTGAAAGAATGGGGTTGGTTTAATTGAGAATATCTATGAACTTACCTCTGAACTTTGCTCTTCTTGTTCTTCAATGGCTGCAGAATTGGCTCTGCTTTTCCCAAAGAACTGAGCTTCAAATCAAAAACTGGATTATTTCAACGCTTCTTTTAAAGTTCTTTGATTTGGTTTTTTGGTTTTCATTTAAATAGAAACAAAAAAAAGAGCGAAAAAACCAGGAAAAATATGAGATTTTTAGAAGATGAAATGAGAAGTGAGAAAATAGAAAGTTTTTGGTGAACTCCATGCGGAAATGTCCTTGAAAATGTTGCGGTCAGCACGCGTATGAAAAGTGGATATGAAAATTTAAATATTGATATGATAATAAAATAATAAAATATATAAGTGATATTATTTAAAATTTTAATAATAATTATATATAAATTTAATAAAATTAAATTTTTATATTTTATATTTTTATATGAATATATGACATATAATTTTTATATAAATATAATATAAATATATTAATTTTTAAATTTTAATAAAAAGAATATTTATAAAATTTGTATGTTCTGATCAAGATTCTGGGGTCTACAAATCTTCCGTTAGTTTCCTGGAAAAGTTTGTCTAGACTAGTATCATTTGAGATCTTCATTTTGTACTCTCAAACTCTAGCTACCGCTAGGGTATCCAAAGTGATAACGAGAATGATAATTCCTGAAACATGACATAATTTTGAGATTCTGGTACGACAAGCCAATGTTCGGGCCAAAATGAAAGGCTCCACGTATATAGAAAAAAATTATAATTAAATTTTAAGAAAGAAATAATTTTTGATTAGGTGTTAAAAATTTTGTTAAAGGTTGAGTTGAAAAACGTATTTAATCTATCACATAAGAAAAAATGTTAAGAAACGTTAAAAATAATATTTTAAAACGCATTTAGATTTGAGGAGAGGAGTAATGAAAAAAAAAAATAGTTTGAGAGAAAGAAAAAAGATTCAAAATAAAAAATAATGCATGTTTAGTCTTATTTTTATATATTTTATTATATAATTAAATAAATCATTATTTATTTTAAAATTAAGTGTGAATATTAACACTCTAAAATATTACTAACGTGACCTTAAGATATAATAAAGGTATTTTTATCAATTTATTCTATCAATAAAATTAATTTTTTGATCGTTTAATCAACATATGCTAAATTATTACATCATTATTAATAAAGGGTCAATATAAGAAACTTTCTCTTAGAACTTATGTATCTCTCGTTAAAGAATGACTCACTCAACATTTTCATTGACATTCTATCAAAATATTACTTCAAAACTAAACATTTGACCTCAATTTTATCTGATATTATTAAATACAGTACATACTTATTTGAAATCATTAAATATATATCGTAATCATCCACGTAACTCTTATTAAATTTCATATAAATTCATAATCAATTGTTAATTATTTTAATCAAATCATCACCTTTTACCTCATATATAAAAGTAAAATGAAACCCAAATACCTAAGACTTAAAGCATCTCTCTTCTTATAGGTTCCTTAATAATTTTTACTTTCTTCTTCACTAAATCCTTAAACACTTCATTGATTTAGATGTTAGAGTACATCTTAAAAAATCGACTTTGACATTTTTTAACTGTGGTTTTTGGTTACAAATCCAAATTCCCTCATCCCCAACCTCTAACCAACTTTTATCCAACCAAACATCAAAAAACACAGTCAACAAGATGAATGCAAAGAGTGGTGCAATTAATACTTATGATAATGGGATGGGTATAACTAGTTTTTTAACTAAATTACTGGACTTAAATGTAATTGGAGGTAAAACTGAAGGGGTTTGGTGTAATTTACCCTAAATTTAAATAAACTCGAATACGGCCCGATTCCACCAGCCCAAAGCTAAGGAAAGCCCAAACATTAAAAGATCAGTAAAGCCCAAACACAAGACAAACTCCAATCCATGCCAGAATTCAGTACTTCACCAAGTAGAATTGTTCTTCAAGAAAGAAAAAAAGTGTTTTCTTAAATTATTTGATTTTAAATTTTAAAATATAAATATATTTTGAAGTGTAAATGGTTTGAGATATTTCAAACTCAACTTGCTTTATTTTGACTTAAATTTAAATTTAATAACAAATAATGTTGATTTAAGTGTTTATTATTTGATTCCATCATAGAATAATTTAGTTTGTTAAATATATTTCTAATGGAAAATGCATATATTTAATAAAATTTAGTATTTTATCTTAGATTCACATATTAAAATTAACTATAATAAAAAAATTATTTAATACATTGTAATTATACTTTTTTAATTTTATAAGTAGAATTAATATAGGTAATATATATCTTATTTTTTAATTAATTTTTTATTTTTAAATATTTAAGAAACACGTATCATTTTTATTAAAAAATTTTATTATCAGTAGATTTAATAATTCTTTTAAAAAAATGAAGTGTGATTTGGGAAAAAAAATTTAATTAGTAGGGTATCCATCCATAAAGCTAGATTCACTCCTATAGGAATTATTCAATTTAAAAAAATCAAATACATGTCAATGAAATGATCAATAACCAATGCTTGATTTAGATACGGAAAAAAAATTTTCATCTCATCATATCTTTAGAGATTCAGTTATAAAATCATATAATAGAAATCGTCTTTTTCGAATATCCAAATCAAATATAAGCTTTATCTCTATTACCTATTTAGGAAAAGGAACAATCATCCTAAATTGTGGGAATTGTTTGCCTTTAAAATAAAGATGAAGGTAGCTTCAAAAGATTCATCCAAAAATGTTGGCCCTTGGAACATTCTTTACCCCAATCTCAAACCTTAACAAAGAAACAACTTCATAATCTTTTAGACCAAGTCAAACCTTTAAAATTTTCCTATGTATACAGCCAAAAATAGTTCAGTGACAGCCATTGATAAGCTGCATAAGATTGTCATTCTGTCTTCATCCCAACAGAACATCCATCAAAGCTACCCGGCAAAAACAGAAAAACGAAATTCTTCCTTGTTTGAGAGCCTTTTATTGTCACTGTTCTTTGTTTCTCCTATGGCAGGTGCTTCTTCCTCCCTTTCTTCCCTTGCTTCTTTTTCTCCTTCATCTTTCTTATTTGGTTTACCTTTCATTGGGTTGGCTATCATTTTTTTTCGTTATTTTATGTATGGAATCCATATGGGGTAGGAAAAGGAGTGGTCGGATATTCTTGGAAGAAACCGGTTCTGTTGGCCAAAAGTTTGGTAGGCTAAAGAATTCAATCTTTGCTGAAGAGGATTCTTCAATGGCAGCGGACAGTGGCTCTCCGTACAATGACTCATCATCATCTCCTCTCAGAAAATCTCCATGGTCATTTCATGTAGCCAGTAATTGCAATTCTTCAGCTATTGAAGACACTAACTTTTCTCCTAACATGCTGATGGGTTCATTGATACGTGAAGAAGGACATATATATTCCCTGGCGGCCTCTGGGGATATGTTATATACTGGTTCTGATAGCAAGAACATTAGAGTCTGGAGGAAACAGAAGGAGTTTTCAGGGTTTAAATCGAATAGTGGATTGGTGAAAACTATAGTCATTGCGGGAGAGAGGATCTTTACGGGTCATCAAGATGGGAAGATTCGAGTATGGAAGATTTCTAACAAAAATTCTAGTGTTCATAAACGGGTTGGGACGTTACCAACTTTCAAAGATTATTTAAAGAACTCCATCAAGCCTAGTGGTTATGTTGAAGTGAAGAGCAATCGTAGCGCGGTATGGCTCAAACATTTGGATGCTATATCTTGCCTTAGTTTGAATGAAGACAAAACGTTAATTTACTCCGCTTCTTGGGATAAAACATTCAAAGTTTGGAGAGTTTCGGATTCAAAATGTTTAGAATCCATTCAATCTCATGATGATGCAGTTAATTCCGTTGTTGCAGGATTCGATGGGTTAGTGTTTACAGGTTCAGCTGATGGAACAGTCAAGGTTTGGAGAAGAGAGTTACAAGGAAAAGGAACCAAGCATTTCTTTTCACAGACATTGTTGAAACAAGAATGTGCTGTTACAGCATTAGTTGTGAATCCTGACGCTACAATTGTTTACTGTGGATCATCAGATGGGCTGGTTAACTTTTGGGGACGTCAAAATCATCTCTCCCATGGTGGCGTTTTGAGAGGCCATAAATTGGCTGTTCTGTGTTTGGTAGCAGCTGGGAATCTTGTAATCAGTGGATCAGCTGATATGGGAATTTCTGTGTGGAGAAGATCAGGAAGCGAGCATTTGTGCTTGTCAATGTTAACTGGCCATACCGGTCCTGTTAAGTGCTTGGCAATAGAAAGAGATCATGAATCAGCATCTGATGAGATACGGTGGATCCTTTACAGTGGTAGCCTAGATAAGTCCGTGAAGATATGGCGCATATCGGAGCGAGCACCGCCAATGATGCAAAGCCAGAACCAACTTTATTCATCAGACAGCAAACGTATGCAGAACTCATTGACAGTGGCTCCCAGCTTCTCTTCTCACGGCAGAATTAGCCAGAGAAAGTAATAGTGAAGAGTTTCAACCCTTGGGCACGGTCATTTCTGGGAAAGGATTCAGGTTGTGATATTTGATATGTAACCAGGGTTGATTGGATTATTAACATTAAAGGATAATGGTTGTGATTTGAAGTGAAAATTAAGTATTTAAGATGCCCATACCCGATTCAATTGATCGATGAAAATGTATTTACTAACTTTTTTCTTCTACAAACACCAAACTTGAATTCAATTCAAAGTTGTGCTTAGACCAAGATCTCTATTAGCCTATCATGGTACCATGGCTCTCAAATCTCAATACAATTTCAGTTTCCTTGCTGAGTTTCATGTCTGCTTGTTTCTTTGACCAATATTTTTTAGTCTTAGATTGGACAAATACAGAAGGGGTTCGAAGATATCACCCGAAGTGCTTGTCTTAAAATTGAAAGCTGCAACTGAAAAACTTGATTGTTTCCCCTGTTTTCAGATTGTCTCTATTCCTTAGTCCAACGTTGACTTATGTTACAATTTTGGTGTGAACAGAATATGAGGTGATGAATTTCATATCATCGAATGAATTTCTTCTAAATCGTGAACTCATAACAATCTTGTCAAAGTCTCCTTTGAACGTAGAAGGTTTGGATAATAAAATGATCTCAGCACAGCTTCATAAGTCAAAGTCTCAAAGTGGACTTATTGGTTTGATCTTTGAAGCTCACATTTTGATTTAAATAAAAGGATCGGAACATTTCCTTGTAGAAGATTGAAACCAAACATTTTGACATTAAAATCCCAGTTTCCAAGGTGGTGCAAATAAAGTAAGAATAAGAATTAAGCAAAATAACATGGAAAGTTAGAGCTACTACCGAAAGTGAAGTATACTTCTTCTGAGTTTATGATTAAGTTTGGGGCCGAACAGACCAGCATGGCCGGTCTCGTTCTTTGGAACCCAACAGCGTTGATGCAGCTCTTACATTTGCAAGGGAGATTCTAAAATGGGATGAACAGAAAGCCAACTTCAGCTTAAGTGGACACTCATTTTATAGCACGGAAGCAAGTTCCTTCTCGCATTGATGTCTAATTTCTAGGCAAGAAAAGGCATGTATTAATCATCAATGCCTGTGTACATACTATCCCAATGTAAATGCACAAGAAAAGACGTTGGTGCTTGCTGTCTGTAGCAGCTGTAAGATTGCTCTTCAAGGCTGTTTTAGCTACTGCATCAAATGCCATGCTATGGTGCTTTAAATCTCCAGGGGATATGATGATTCATATGATATCTTCTGTTCTAACAATAGAAATGATAAATACACAAATGAACAAAGATTTATACCAGTCCATCAAACTAGACTTTTCATTTCTTAAATAAAGAAGCGAGCAAACTATGTCTACAATAAGAAACATGAGTGGACTTCTTCATCTGTGCCACTAGGTATCATTTTGATTATACATATTCCTAAATATTCTGACTCTCAGAATATTTTCGTTTCTGTTAATCAGCTCAAAAACACAAGCATCACCCACTGCTAAATGATTATCAAGTGCGAAGGCCATCCAACCACAATTTAGTTTTGCTGCTAGTTTTGTTTGTTTGGAGACATAATACTTCATAGGCCATGCTTTACCACCTGGAACCCGAAGGATAACATTGTTGTGCTCCTTCTTAAAGTATGCCTTGACAAATTTCGGAGGTATATTCTGCACAGATTAAAGAAAGAAAGAAAACTAATTTTGCCTCGGCGCAAACTAACTAGGCAAGAATTACACCACAAAACTAAATAATTACTCTTATTGAAGCATATCACAGGATTATTCATATGATCAGCAATTGGTGGCTAGGCTATGAGTTGAACGCTTACCATGTTATTCTTATTTTTCCCAATACCAATGTAGGATGGCTGTATTACAACCGTGACAAAAGGATTCTTTGATTTAAATGCCATTTTAGCTCTTTGAAGAGCTAAAGATTTTTCTTTGCCCGTCAGTTTGTGGGCATTCTTATCAAGAACCTTTTGTTGCTTGCAGTTCCAGATGGTGGGCTTGACTGCACTACCTCCTACAGAAAAATCAAGATTGGACATATATTGAAACTTGTACTTAAATGTGAACGTTAATACAAAGTATAGAGGATTTCTTTGATTTTCTGAAAACCAAATAATAGAATGGCATTATATTAGAAGAGTGGGGGAAGGAAAATAAATTTAGAACCCCTTGATTTTTCTGAACCTGCAGCTCTCTCTGACCAGGATCCACCAGCTTATTTGCCTTTGGGATGAATGCAAGGAACTGATGGTTTGGATACTGAACTTTCCCTCTTCTCCCCCAACTTAGGAATCTTATCCACAGGTTCAACTGAGATGACATCCTCCTCATCAGTTTCTTCTATCTTAATCTCTTCAGGCTTGTCATTAATTTTTGAATCGGATGGATTAGCTCCATTCTTATCTGATACCTTTCCATATCTTCCATATCTTTTCTCATTGTCAAACATTCTTACTTCACCCCTTTGATTACCTCTACATTCATCTGACATCTTTGTATTTCTTTCTCCATGGTCAAGCATACTATCCTCACTAGCCTGTTCGTTGTTCATCATTGTTTTCCTCTTTTTTCTTCCTTCCTTTACCTGAAACAAATTTATCACTCTTCCTAGGGACAGCAGTGACATCTTTTTCACATGCATTTCTCCCAAAGATGGTTAATCTAAATATTGATCTCCCAACATAATTAAAAACTACAAAGTCTTTAAGCTCTAAAAGATTGTCTTTTACAAAGGCCCCCCAACCCTTTTTAAAGAACAACTTGTTGTCAATTTTCACCACATTAACTTGCCAAAAACTTCTCCCAGAGTTCTGAAGCTTGATCTTCTGAGGTCGTGGTGTTCCATAAAAGAACTTGGCAAATGATGGTGGAATTTGCTACAACAAATTCAATCAATATCAATCATGGTAAGAGCAAAAAAATAAATTAAGTAAAAAAAAAAATCTAACCATGTTAAACCAAAACAGGGTAATGGAACTGAACTAATTCAACTAATCATCAAATGTTAATGGAACCGTAACTAGTTGAGGGTTTAAAGAGTGTGGACAAAGTAAGAATGCTTGAAAAATTAATGATTTAAAGAAAAAAAAAACAGAAGCAAAGAAAAAATCAAGAAGTTTTTCAGATTCCATGAAAATGTTGTTCCTGTTTGTATAGAAGAACAACTATAATTACCAGACAATTCCAGTTGAAAATATGGGTATGGGAATATCAAAGTGAATATGGTAATGGTATAGTTTGCTGAGAAGGAGAGAGATGTAATAACAATCGCTCAGGGAAGTCACCAAAGCAGAACCTTGAAAAAGCCTGGCCTGTCTTTTGGCCCTGGTTTTCTTCTCATTGGAGTGGGTTGTCATAGGAAAAAGAACAATGCAACACACGCATCTTTTGGTTTGTGATCAGAGCATTCAACCAGCTTTTAATGGATATGCATGAGTTGCAAAACCTAACAAAGCACAGTTTTTAGACAAATTTTGATGCATAAATACCCATTTATTGTGACTAATTAAAAAATAATAATAATAAAAACACCCTTGATCATCTTCTCAAGTTCCATTTGCCATCTACTTCTGTTTCCATAGTCAAAACTAGTGAAACTCTTATCACAAAAAAAAAAAAAAATTATAGTATTTAGGGATAAGCATGAATCGGTTCAAACCGATTTAACGGATTAAAATAGATAAAAAATAATTAATTGAGTTTGATTTATTTAATTTATGTTATAATTAATTTTTTAATTTGATTAATTAATTAAATTAATTTTAATTTTTAAAATTAATAATAGATCGAATTAATCAATTTTTAATAAGTAAAAGTAAGTTGAGATTAACATATTTATTTATTTTTTTCTTGCAACAATGTTATTTGAAATTATTAAATTTTTTTATGATTTAATTTAAATAATATTTGAGTTTAAATTTTTTTAGATTAAATTTATAATTAAATAATTATTTATTATAAAAAATAAAAAATTAATTATTTAATAAATTAATAAAACAAAATCAATTTTAATTGATTCAATTATAATCTATTATTTAAAAATTTTTAATTAATTTAATTATTTATTAAATAAAAATTAATTAATTAAATTATTAATTTTTTAAAATCGATCGAATCGATTATTTAATCGCCCTTGTTAACGTTAAACTAGAAAGTGTTAAATGTATGAAACTCGTCTTAGGCTTTGTACGATATAATAAGAAGAGAAAAGAAAGTATCCAAACCCAACTCGACCATCTATATAAAAAAACCCATACTAAACCTTGTGGGAATTTCTCCAAAACCCCTACTGTTAACCACATCAAATGTTACGCCACCTCCTAACCGCCATTCGCCACCGTTCAACCACCATACTCTCCCACCACAACCATTATCACCGCTCAACCAACTATAAACCTCCCAAAACTCCAACTCCACCCTCCCCACCGAAGCCTCCAAAAGCCCCTCAAAAATCGCAAACGTTGACTTTCCATGATGTCACTTGGGAAGATCCTTACTCCTGGATGTCTTCTCTCCAAGACAAAGTCGCCATGCGCCATATGGACATGTACATGGAACAAGAAGAAAAGTATACTGAGGCTGTCATGCTAGACACTGAACGCCTCCAAAATAAGCTACAGTCTGAGATGGCTTCTCGCTTGAACTTTGACCTCTCTACCCCTCCAATCCGTTGGGGTCCTTGGTACTTTCTTCATTCTTGCATTTTTACCTTTGTTTTTTGTTAAAAAAAACGAAACTGCCGAACTGGGTATTTAGTAAAACCTTGAGTTTTCTTAGGTTCTGTTTGGTTGTTAATTTTTACAACCTATTTTTTGCTTCTGAATAATGTTATGTTTCTGAGAACGAAATGTTAAAAATTTAAGTTTTTTAATAGCAAAATAACTGCTTTCGCTTTCATAGGAGATAATCTTGGATATAAAGTTAATATTTTTTAAGTTGCTTGTTTTAATTAAATATGATTTTACTTTTTACTCACAGTCTTTGAGGAAGTAAATGGATTCTAAATTCCATTATTCCTTTTTTTTTTTTTTGCCTTTTCATATGAAAATGTTAATGGATATATGGCTAATAGGTTAAACTCTTTTGTTAAGTTACCTTATTGTCGTATTTGATTCTTTTTATGAGAATGAAAATAGGTATATTAGTTGAAATCTGAATAATTTTGCAGGTTGTATTATAGAAGGGTGGAAGAAGGGAAGCAGTATCCAGTGCTATGTAGGAGATTGGCGAGCTTGAATGAGGAGTTCATTTCTCATAAGTATCCAGGTGCTGGATTTGATTTTACTTCTGGGAAGAGGATTGAGCAGAAGCTGCTTGATTACAATCAAGAAGCTGAGAGATTTGGAGGTATTGTTGAAAATGGAAGATTACCCTCTTCTTTTATTTGCTTCTGAGACTTAGTTTGACATTTCTTTCTCTTATGTGTTTAAAGGTTATGCTTATGAAGAATTATCGGAGATATCGCCAGGCCATAAGTTTCTTGCGTACACCATGTATGATAAGGACAATGACTACTTCAAGTTGTCTGTAAGGAATTTGAATACTGGTGCATTATGCAGCAAGCCTTATGCAAATCGTGTTTCAAATTTGGCATGGGTCAAGGATGGACAGGCATTGCTCTATGTCGTTACTGATGAAAATAAGAGGCCATTTAGGTGGAAATTCTGCTGGTTTTATCATGAATTCACTTACATATCTATTCATTATTTTTTGGTTGTCAAATGAATTTAACAAAATCTAGTTGGAAATTTGATTTCATTTTAGGATATACTGTAGCATGATTGGATCAACTGATGAAGATGTTTTGCTGCTGGAAGAACAAGATGAAAATGTCTATGTAAACATAAGGCACACAAAAGATTTCCATTTTGTGACAGCTAATACATTTTCTCCTACATCTTCAAAGGTATCTTGGAAGCAAAATTGGCTTGTTGTCAGCTTCGGATTGTTGTAAATTGATTATTCTTGAATGATGTAACATTTTTTACCATATTTTAGGTCTTTCTGATAAATGCAGCTGACCCATTTTCTGGCATGACATTAGTTTGGGAGAGTGAAGGTATTGTTCACTGCATTCTTGAGCATCATCAGGGATACCTCTATTTATTCACAGATGCAGCCAAGGATGGACAAATAGTTGATAGTCATTATCTTCTTCGAAGCCCTGTTGATTCTTCGTCCAATCCTAGAATTTGGGAGGTTGGTATATGACTTCCTTTATATCTTTTTTTTTTTTCTTCCCATGGTTTGTAAATGTACATTCCTCCTTTTATTTTTGTGTGTCCATGTCCATGTCTTTTGCACCGAGGTTCAATGATATGTGCTCATGCCTGTTGGCATTTCTTGCTCTGTTTCAAATGCTACCACTGCTAGCTGTGTTATTTAAGTAATCCCATGTCTTATGTACTGCAGAATTTATTCATTGATGATCAAGAGTTGGTTATAGAGGATGTTGATTTCTGCAACTCACATCTGGTTCTTATTACAAGGGAAGGTCCGAATTATGGAATATGCTCTATTGCTCTACCATTGCCAGGTGGGAAGGTAAGAAAATAAAAGTTTTTTTTTTTTGTGCTTATCACTCTCATACTTCATTTCTCTTCCTTTTCCTCCCTTGTTGCCCTTTCTCTTTATGGGCATTTTTACATCTACTCTCCTCCTGTCTTCTGTTATTATGGCAGCAAGCAGTTCATCTGAGGGAGCTTCACCCTCATTTCCTTCCTCTTCCAAAGCATGTTTGTAAAATTTCTCCAGGGCCAAACTATGACTACTACTCCACAACTATGCGATTCACAATATCTTCCCCTGTGGTATGTAGATGATTACCATCTGAACATTATTTATCTCTTAATATAGAGCAGCTATTCCCTTTTCATTTCTACTTAGGGGTAATTTTGTAGAACTTTGATTCATAGATCCTGTTTAAGCATGGTTAGAAAAATAAAAAGAAAGTTTGATGGAGCTATAAGTATCTGGTGTCAGTGATGGATATGTTGTCTCTACTGTTAGTAATTTGGGTTTTTAGTTTTGAATATAAGCTGCTTAAATCAATTTGTTTCCTGAATGGCTTCTAGAGATTAAAATTTTTTTGTTATGGCTTAGGTTGATTCCTACTTGATTTGAATTTGCATGTCATCTGCTAGATTCGGTGCAGCAACTGTTCATGTTTCTCCTCTAGCTTGAGTAAATATATGACATTCAGTAGCTCTCATGGCAGCATTTTCATTCATGATTTTAAGTGATATTGTTAGTTATGTTTCTTTACTTTTCACATCTTGTTTATCCATGTTTATTTTTTTTGCTTTCCCACCATCTATGTTAAAATTATTCAAATCTTCATCAATATTGACATTCTTTTTTTATTATTATTTGCAGATGCCTGATGCTGTGGTTGATTATGACTTATCAAATGGCAAGTGGAATATCATTCAACAGCAAAATATGCTTCATGAAAGAACCCGGGTTTTGTACGGTACAGCTTTAACTTCAGCCATTGCTGAGAAGTCAACAAATGTCAAACTTTCTTCTATTAATGATGTCAAATCTGAAGATGATAACTTGTGGAATGACCTGTCTGAATATTATGCTTGTGAACATCACAATGTCTCTTCTTATGATGGGGCTGTGGTTCCTTTAACTATTGTTTACTCACGCAAAAATAGAAAGGATAACCAAAGCCCTGGATTGCTTCATGGGCATGGAGCTTATGGTGAAATACTTGATAAACGATGGCGCAATGAGTTGAAAAGCCTCCTTGATCGTGGTTGGATTGTTGCTTATGCTGATGTAAGGTTTGTTTTTCATTACAATTATAGTAGTTCTTCTGGCTATTCTTACCATCAGTTTTCTATAGCATTATTTGATTTTATACTACTTTATGAAGTGGTTCTGATGTTTTTTTAAAATTACATTGTAGAGGTGGTGGCGGTGGTGGTAAGAAGTGGCATCATGATGGCAGACGCACAAAGAAACAGAATTCAATTAGAGATTATGTCTCTTGCGCAAAGTACCTTGTTGAAAAAGAGATTGTGCAAGAAAACAAGCTTGCAGGTTGGGGATATAGTGCTGGAGGTCTCCTGGTTGCCTCAGCCATTAATTGCTGCCCTGAGTTATTTCGTGCTGCAGTTTTGAAGGTATGACAGATCTCTCTGCTTGTTTTTGAGTTTGCTCTATTATACTTGCTGCGTATTATTAATTTGCTTGCGCTGATTAGACATATTTGCTTTCAGCATTCTTATAGGGAAAAATCTATCTGCTATTATTATTCCTTTTTTTTTCCCCTGAAATTGTGAGAAACGAAGCACTAAAACAGAAAGTAATATTTGCCATTATATGCCTGCAAGAATTTGTTACTAGGTACTTTAGAATTTCATATGGGTATAGGTGGGTTTTATTGTTTTTTTAATTCTAGGTAAACTCATTACATCTTTTTATCTGTTTCAGGTTCCATTTTTAGATGCAACCAACACTCTTCTCTATCCCATTTTACCTCTCACAGCAGTCGATTATGAAGAATTTGGGTACCCTGGGGATATTGATGATTTTCAAGCCATAAGGAAATTTTCTCCCTATGACAATATTCGGAAGGATGCTCTTTATCCAACCGTATTAGTATCCTCATCTTTCAACACACGGTAAGTAGCTCTTCTTGTTAACTGTGCTTTGTTCGGTTAAGAGAACTTCTAGGTTTATATTTTAAAGAGGGAGAGAGAGGAGACATCAAGGCTTTAGGAATTGATAGCCACAAAGTTGTTTCTCTTTGCATCTAAACAGAGTTTAAAAGGGAAATGCAAAACCAACAAATAGTACTGCATTGAGCCTTCTAGAAATTGGTAATATCTTTTTCCTTGTAATCTAAGTGGGCATTACTGCCTTTATATTTGACTTTTTTTTTTCAGATTTGGGGTATGGGAAGCGGCAAAATGGGTCAGTCGAGTTCGGGAACAAACTATTTATGACCCCAAACATCCAATACTACTTAATTTAATGACAGATATTGTAGAGGAAAATAGATATCTTCAGTGCAAAGAGTCAGCTTTGGAGACTGCATTTCTTTTAAAGGCAATGGATTCATAAGTTGGCTTTTAGCATTCCATCCTATGATTCTTCTCCTGATCTTCTGCAATGCATGGAAGCTAGAAAGTTGGGTGTATATCTCTGCTGTGGCCAAACTAAGATAATCCTGATCATACTTTGCTTACCTGCTCGTACCCGATCCAGGGTGTTAAATGATGGTGCTTTGTCAATAGTTTTATTCTGATTTGGTTGCTTTGGTGTTATATAGATTTGGAATCTGCTTTCTTTAGGTTATGGTCGTTGCCTACTCAAGTGGTTCATCGTGCTAAAGCAGCCAATTGAATAGAGACAGGGATAGCTTTAGAGGATGCATGAATCAGAAATTCAATTTTCTGGCCACTTGTTGCTTTCACTCATTGTTATCTGCAGATGTCATTGTACCTTATCCCTTATTTAATAATAATAAAGTGCAAATATAGTGGGGAGATATGTTCTTAGAGCTTCTGATAATGGCCTTTTAACAATTCAGAAGCTTTTGTCTTATTACATTTTTATATTTGGTTTACGCGTGTTAATAGTAATAATAACACTTCTGGATGATGACATGCACAATCTTCCATATCCAACAGTTTTAACTGGTGGCCAACTGCATCTCCAATTAGATGAAGTTTGTCAACGTTTCACCATCACCAGGTTCAAAATTGACAAGGTTCGGGTGATTTTGGTTTTTTTTTTTTTTATAAGAAAAAAATTTGGAGATAATAAATTGTTCAATCTTTCGTATCAAAATAAGATATATTGTATTTTATAACTTAAAATTTTTTTTTTTTTTCTAGAACCTGGAACCTAGACAGAACCAAAAAAGAGAGAAGCAGGATGATATTGATACGTAACTTCAGCATTACATCCCATGGGAAACAAAACCCAATCGGTGTGGCCCAACCTCTGATAATTACCGGTAGAAAAGGAAATCCAACAGACTCTTGAATTAGTCCACCTTTGATTTCTTTGACTAATTTATCCAGTTTCATAATCGGGCATTGCATCATCTATTTCTTGCTCAACATCAAACTACTGTCGCAAATTTACCAATTCCAATCCATTCTATTCTTTCGAAAGATTATCATGTTATTCAGATGTTGTAGGACCTATCAAAACTTAAAAACCTAATCCTTTGTGAAAATTGGCTACAATGAACAATATGTTTCACCCACCAGCATCCACCCTGGATTTTCTAACACTTTCATGCCTTCTAATTTGACACCAAAACATAATTTAGTTTATAGCCAACACAAATTTCTAACTTCCAACAAAGCCTAGAAGGAAACTGGAAAGACTATCCATTCCTTCTAGACTTCTAGTCCATATCACTTTAAAGCTTGTCTGTCCTGACTTGGATCAAATGCAAAATGGTTCAATAACAAGTAGACAAATCAGAATTGTAGTGAATGAATTTGAACTGCAGAAGCTGAAATTAGCTACTTCTTTTTACAGAGAAGGAAAATTAAATGTGTATAAACCAAAAGCAGAATGCTAAGTGGTAACAGTTGTGTCCATGTACTCCTGCTTTGAGGTGACGGTAACTTCCAAAATGGTACATATTTCTAAAGCCAACTTTAGAAGAACCCAAAAAGATAAAATGAAATTTTCAAGCAGCAACAAACATGAATTAACAAATTCACCCGCTTGCATCCGAGAGTCTTGAGGAAGAGCAAGCTATCCATATACAGTTGCCCCCAAATCCTCTCCAGGGTCTTCTGAATCTTCCACTCGGACTCTCAGATTATTTTGCAAATGATCTTGAATTGCTCAACTTCAGGAGTTAGATCTCTGACTCCTCTTCGGCAACGGTTGGAAGTGTACCCTCTCTGATTAAATCTGGGTTAAGGAATTTTGCCATAAAACCCCACAACTTATAGACATCCTCAAAATTAGTCAGGAAGCCGAGAGAAGCTGTGACAACCTCAACTCTAACGAACCCACTTTTCCCATCATGTTGCCCATTTTCCATCGGTCTGCACAGGGAAGTATCTTCAAGGTTCAAAGCCCCTCGTTGTTGTCCTGGGCTATCTAATATTCGTATGTGACTGAGGAAACCAATGCCGAGATAGATACCTTCTCTTTCAGCCAACTTCTGTACAATCTCTGGATTAATGAGGCCCCGGTTCCTGTCCCTCACATTGAAAGCCACGGCAGCACCCCTTTCATATTTTATTTTTGAGCCATAGATGTGAACAAGATTCACTCTGCCATCTCCATCCGGACTAGGTAGTTTGAGCTGCAGTAATGAGGTTACAAGCCAATTAATCAAAAAACGTAATCTAAGAGTGGTTTTATTGAGCCCCAACATATTAACATGATCAAGATGCCGACATATTATCTCAGGCTCCCTCCTGTCCTGATCTTGTCCATCACCATATTCTCCGTCGCTGGTGCAGTCTTCATCATCAATGCCGGTCACAGACACTTCTCCCGGTTCCAAAGTATGACTCAGGTGCTCTTTACGGTTATTCTCCATGCTAAAGGATACCCTTCTTCCCTGGCTTGGATGCTCATCTTCTAAACCAAAAAGTCTGCCACCATTATATCTATTCCCTTCCCTCCTCCCCAACAACCTAAATTCACCTTCAGTTTCTCTTCTTATAGCACTTTCTTTAATCTCTGAGGAAATTTCAGAAGTTGAGCAATTTGCTAAGCCATTATTCTGAAAGACGGAAGAATTATTGAGGCGAGCTCCATTTATAGCAGAATTAGATACAGACCCCGCAGACAGAGGTTCACTGGTACCCTGTTCTTCCTGGATTTCCAAAACACGCGAATGATCTGAAGCCTTCTTGTGATTTCGTGAGGTGATGTTTGTTCCTGAAAACTGTTCTTCTTCAGGGATCTCCTTCCCACGGTCCGGTTCCTGAGAAACTGATAGAACAGCAGCATCAAAGGATAACACATGATGATCATCATGCCCCATGTTAACATCTTTATCATCATATATTGGGCTGCCGTATATCTTTGATGTTGGCTTTGGAGAGAGCCGCTTGTGGTTCTTCCTGCCACTAAACCAAACAGGTGGCAAAGGGGAGGCAATTTTCTGTTTATTCAACTGGCCCGCACCATCAGATCCCAATGGACTCTGACCCAAATCAATCCAGAATGAGTTGTCTGATGACTCATCTTCGCTGAAGACAGGGCTTTTCATCACTTCTCCTACAGAAATGCTCTCAGTTTCTTCAAATATGGTGCTTGCTCCATCTCTGTCAGAACTATTATCTTGATCCATTTCTGTATCAAATACATCCCTAACCTGAGCAGATGTGAAGGCACCAGAAAAAGCAGGCAACTGTGTTCCTGGTCGGTTTTCAGAGGGCTTATCACCGTTCGCACCAACTTCATTGTCCTCAATTCCACCCAATCCATCAAGACCATCTACAGAATCACTCAGATAGAGAGGATACTCAGGGGTAATCTTCACCATTCCAGAACCAGTAGATCCCGACTGGTTCTGAAGGCTTCCCATGACTGATTTTTTTATAAGAAGGCACCCAAAGCCAGTTGGATCATATCCAAACACCCTGTAGAATGATGTGATAATGAAATCTGGCCGAAATAAGGACAGGCCAAGTGAATCCATGTCTTTGGGACCCAATGACCCAGCATCAAGCAAGACATGCCAATTGTTATGCTGAGCCAATGCCATCCACTGGTACGAATACTTAGCCCCCGTTACTCTAGACTGCACTGGAAAAACAAAAAGACCAGTAGCGGAATCCTTCTTCCTCCTCTTTTTATTTGAAATCTGCTTTCTCAAATCAGTAGAACAAAGTTTAAGAGTTGGCCATTTAAACCAAGCACTGTAAACTTTTGCACCCTTCTCCCTAGCAGTCTGAGCCATCCAATTCACAGATTGACTCTCATAATCAAACATGGTCAACAATTTCTTATTCGTGTGAAAAGGATACGAGTCAGCCAGTAACTTAAACGCAGACCCCCTACTTACAGTAAACACAAGGCCATACTCATGTTCAGGAATGTTCAAATAATCCATTATCCTACTCTTTATGTCATATTCCACGGTGCCTTTTTCCGCACCACCATAAAGTGCATGGTTACTCAAATTTGCAGTTATCTCGGACAAGCTAAATGTAGAAGACTCCCAGTAATGCAAAGTTTGAACATAAGAGAAAAGCCCAAATCCACAATAATCAAGGCATACCTTTGGTGACAAATGTGCATACTCATCTGACCTCAACTGATCAATCTTCTTTGATGACTGGTATTTTGGGTACATTGTAAGGAACTTATTGAAAGCCTCATGGACATCAGGTATAGAATCTTCACTCTCAAATATACGCTCCGCGGCGAGAGATGTAGCTCGCAAGAATTCACGCTGAGCATGGAGCCTAGCAAGGGATCTTGATCGTCCCAAGCTCTCATCCTGATTGGCTAGTGAATCAGGTTCCATGTCCTGAGACTTGAACAAAGACCCTTCTTCAGATGCTTCTTCAAGAGCTTCCCTGAGCTTGTTCTCGTGTAGTTTCCGGAGAATAGAAGGGTTCTTCTTGATTTCAGCTGCAGATTCAGACCCATCTCTTCTCCTGCTCTTCTTGTCTAAAAAGATAAGAGCAGCACAGTGAGATATGGGCTTCCACAGTGAAAGATGCATCAAAGCGGCAAAAACTTGAAACAAAACCCAGGAAGAAGACTAGCTGGAGATTCACCACAAGAAAAGGGGTTTTTAACACATCTAAGAAAACCCCACTTTTTAGTAATAAGTGGGTTCGATTTTCAAACCTACGACTCAAAGCAAAAGGGAGGAATCATGTACCAGATCAAGAAAGCACTAAATTCAGCTAAAAAGGATTCAAGTCAGAGAGAAACAACCATACGGAGCCAAAAAAAATGTTAAAGCGGAAAAAATCCAGCAACAAATCCCAGGCTCAGTCTGAGAAAAAAAGCATCTCAGATTCTCAGGATCAGTTCAAAAACAAGAAAAAAAATTCAGGTGCAAAAACCACAGAAAAGAATCCAGAATTGGAAGTGTACAAGAAAGTCAAAGGCCAACTTTTTCGAAGAGAAGTACAAGAAAGACAAAAACTTGGAAAGGAAATGAGTCAAAGGCTGAAGAAATGAAGCCTGGAACCCTCAAATCCCAGATCCCAAATTTTAACAAGGAAAACTCCCCAAACACGAAACTTGAAAAAACATGAACCAAAAGGGCTTAACAGGAACAAAACATAGCATATAAAGATCCCTTCTTCAACCCAAAATCCACACCTCCATGAAACAACTAAAAACCAGCTAAAAAAGCTGGACCTTTCTCTCTTTATCTTTCCCTTTCTCACTCTTTATTGCAACACAAATAAAAGCAAGCTAACTCCTTTACATCAAATGCACATTTACTTGGGAGAGCAGTAAAATCCAATAAAATCCAACCAGAATTGATATCTCTCTCTCTCTTCTCTCTCTCTCTAATTTCATGTTTTTCTTTTGTGGGTTGTGGTGATAGGTGGGGCGTATCAGAAAGCCTTTTCCTCAGATTGTCTTGGGCAAAAGTCAAAAGATCAGCTGGCTTGTAAAAGCTGTTTTCTGTCTAACTAGGCAAAAAAAAAGTCCACCTCTTCGGAGTTCCAATCCTCCTCCCCCTGAATATAGATTGTTATTAATAATTCAATTTCAAATTAATTTATAATCATAATTTTCAATTGCTGTCTCTCCTGCCATTTTCTATTGCGAAAGTATTTAGCTTTATCTGCTAAACTATATTTGACTTACATCTCACTGAACAAGTGGCCCAAAAGGAAAAGACATCTTTTTGGGGGAAAATTGATGTGTTTCATACATGCATTAAAATTGAGTGTTTACATTATAATTTTATTTAAATTATCTAAAATGAGGTCATCAAATAAAATAGATTCAGCCATAAATATTGCCAAGTCAACTCAATTTAATAAAAGGGAAACGCTTATTCTCCAAGTTTTTGCATTGTTAAAAAAACGTTAGGATGATATGGAAAATCTTGAAGCTTGAATTATTCAGGTTTTTCTGGGGAGGAGATAAATTGCTTTCTTACCCTTCAAATTTTGATTGTTCCAACCCAGAAGAGAAAGAATGGAAAAGAAAATCCTTGCTTTGCAGCATATAAGGCACATCATGTTCGATACAGATTAATTCTATGGACTTCTACTTGTCCTTTTTCAGCCTTTCTCTTAAGAACAAAACAAAAAACCAATCCATCAAGTTTTAGTCAAAGAACTAAAAAAGGAGCACTATAAATTCCCATTTCTCCATGAATTTTTCGGCCTCTTTTTCTTCAATGTAGATTAGACTAGTTAATGTCCAATAACCCCCATGACTAATTGTTTAAATGCTTCTCATTTTGTTGATTTTCTTATTCAACATTGTTAATCATTTTGTCATTTTCAACTTTGGTGGTATTTTTGAAACCCCTATAGTTCAATAAATTTCTTTGATATTAAGTTTCATCCAAATGCTCTAATATTCTCCTGTATCAGACCATTGTTTTTCAGCTGTCATTTCCAGGCACTAATGTTATTAGCCAAGCTCATGAACATCATGCATATAGTTATGTAATCCTTATTAAATATGTTAGTTGATGTGGGGGCTCCTGTCCCTGTTAGTAGGAAAAGATTTCACATGTACATTTTGCAAAAATGTTTAACTTATATTAATAGGCTGATATATTAGCGGGAACCACCCTGTATGAGGAAGTATGGTTGTGGTTAAGATTACCTATGACAACCTTTAAAAATACTAGTAATAAATCAAGACACTCACAAGAAAAAGCTGTCTAAAATTATAATCTCGTAGATAGGCAAAGGGACAAAACACATAAGCCACTGCCTTTGGATTCCCTCCTCCTCAATGGCAGGACCAATGCACAAAACCCCATAACCTGCCACAAAAGTAAAAGGCCAATTAGCAAAGAAAGATTACGGTTTTTTTTTTTTAACCAAAATTTACTAAAGTTCTTAAAAGTAAATGTTTAGTGGGCCAAAGATTTACAGTTTACTAAATTACTGTTAGTGCTGAAAATCCAACCATCAGCTAATGATGATCTAGAAGACTGCAAGTCCGCAACCCAACTCTCAAGAAATTTTTGTGTTAAAAAGGTCAGGAACGGTCTCTGCCATGTCTCCCAAACATTCCACTGATCAATTTGGTTTACTTTTACAAAGTTATTTTTATCTTGATATGCTCCTGCATGGTGGGACTTTGGAGTGTCTTGTCAAAAAGTAAACAATAAAATCAAAATGAGAAAAAAATTTTTCAGTTCTTGAATAGAATTGTATGGTTGGAAACATACAATTCAATTCCCCCCAGCAACCTTATGAAATGGTTTACAACATTCAATTCGAAATAGACAATGGCTAATCTGTTGTTTTGTATAAATGTAATAATTGAATTGTTCAATTGGACCCTATTTTTAATTAATAATGTTTTAAATCACCTACAACAAATTTAATATCATTTATATTCGAGTTTTTATATATTTTAATTAAGATTGAATAAATTAAATCTTATTACATTATAAAACTCTTTTGATTTAGTCAAATTCAAAATTAACTTAATTTTGTAAAGGAAAAGAAGTAAAATATTGAAAAAACGAAATCTTAGTATTCAAGTTTAAACAGCCATTAATAATAATAATATTACATTGGACTTGGACATAAGAAATAATTTTTTTTAACAATAAAATGGTCACATTCAAAGATAGCTTCATCTTCAAAATATATATGATTTAAAGAAAACAAACAAATAGATGGATGTGGTCTGCATATGGGATTGAAACAAAGATTTTATTAATTAAAAGTTCTTTAATTCCAAATTGAATCTTTAAAAAATGCAGTTTTTCTTGGCAAATCAAAAGAGTGCAAAAGAAAATCATTCCTCCGTATTACAAGGAGAGCAGGTGCATGTCAAAGCCAGCCTATAATGATGATGATTCATGATTAGTAAACCATCTTTTGAAAGCACCAAACTACCCCTGGTCAAACCTTGACAATAGAATCCAATCAAAGGAACCCCTGGCCTGAGCCTTAAGAAATTATCATTGTTCTGTTAACAATAAATCAATAATAATTTGCAAAGGGCTAATTTTGTGGAGGTTTGATTATTGATCTGTTAAAAATAATAATTTGGAAATAGCCTTAAACTTGAGGGAATGCTTTCTTACTGTCACTCACTCAGCATCCATGTCCATAAATGTTATCATTGTTCATCAATAGACAAGAGACACCATGAGCTTTCTTAAAAGTTGGGTCGGGGAGGCTTCATCTGATTGCAATAAGTGGGGGATGATCACCTTTTTTTTTGGCTATCTTGGCTTTTTTATTTATGGGTGCTTTTAATTCACACTGCCCTTTTTATTTTTTCTTCTTGTTTCTATGTCCATTCTTTTGGCTAGCTCTGTTGCAAAGGTCTTAATTTTGGTGGACCATGCAACTCAAAATTGACTTGTGATAAGTGATCTTTGTTCAAGGTACTGGTATTGACATTTAAAGCCCATTGCAGTATGATTTTTGATTAACTTGTCTTGGGAAAATTAAAGTGGTCTTTTTAAACCCAATCTTTGGACCGACACATGCTCTAATGTCTGGTCTTGGGCTGCTTTTTTATTTTTTTCCCTGACATTTACTTAGTCGAGTCTGAACTTGAGCCACATTGCAGTCTGAACTAGATCTTCCTTTGTTTTCATTACTACATGCCAGTGCATTGAATATTGATGCCAAATGCCAACCTTTAAAAAAATTTTCAGTCCTCAAACCAAGAGAAAGGTTATTTCTCTTTTTGGCACTTGAAAGTTGAAACCGTGCGGGGTAATATATGCAATGACAAGGTTCTATACGTGGCCGTGTCATGAAAAATCCACCATACAAATTTGAAGATCATAAATCTGAAACTGCTAGTGAAAATATGGCAGTTCAAGAATATAAAACAGGCAGTTCAAGAATATAAAACAAGCTATGTAAAAAAAAAAAAGATAAAACAAGCAAAATTTCATATAAGCACCAACATTTCAAGCTACTGCTCATTAAAGATATAAAAAAGGTAATCTCAAATGTTAAATTCGAAAACAACTTCATAGAGATTAAACCATGAAAATGCGGACTTGGCAGGACCCAAAATGCTACAAAGCACACTTTAACGTACTAAAATACTTGCAATATTAGTAAGATAAGCAAGCCAACTGTGGCTTGACTGTAGCTAAGAGGAAGAATGAGGAACTGCTGCTTCAACTAATTTTTCTACTAGACATAAGCCCTAAACATAATATTGAGGCTACTTCTGCTATCTCAATAAGAGCATTATGAACTCAATCCTAGTTAACAAAAGGGACTTACGACTTATGGGGAAGCTGCTTTGTTTCGAGGCCTTAATCTTCTGGCTATACAGTCCATACTAGCTCCAGAAGTACTAAGCTTCAGATTGGCCTCAGATTCCTTCCCTGATGAATTGTTTTCAACAACCTGCTTCGCGTCTGATACACTCGCATTTTCCCCTGGTAACCCCTGCTCGTCATGATCTTTGCATTGTCGACACCTTTGCTTCAACCTTTCAGCACTACCGTCTAGGCTATGTTCCATAGCAGGTGCAGACCTCTTCATAAGCTTTGGACTATTCTCTGATGCAATAAAGCCTTCACCTATATCCTTGACAGCATCGCGTGTTTCCCTCTCTTTGACTACTTTCTTTTTTGAGAATACATGGTTTACAGTCTGTTTAGCATCCAAAAATTTGTCATTAAGCCACATAGTCCCATTATTATGGTTGCTATCTTTTCGACGCCTTTGTCTACGTCTTCCAGCAATGCAGTCGGGGCTTGGTTCAATGGACAACGGATGCTTCTTTCCAGGTCTTCTTTCCAATGTCAGAGGGCTAGCATTAGGTTCTTCCTCTGTGAAATGCAATTCCTTCTCATGTTCACACTTGAGCTCCTCATCTTTCTTCTTTCCAGAATCCAGCTCTGAAAATCCCACCTGCCCATGGACATCAAGGTTGATCTCTATAGATTCCCCTTTTTCAAACTCAGCTTCATACTTTGTAAAGAGCAATGATTTCCTAGCAGAATTTTGATGGATAATAGTTGGATTTGGTTCTGGGTAAGCATTGTTTTCCTTTTTCTCACAGTTCAAGCCATCCTCCCCAGATTGAGGCTTCCGATTATTATCGACCTCGGAAGATTCTTCTGATGGCAATTCTAGAGCTGGAAAGGACAGTGACCTCTTAGCAGACACTTCATCAATATTCTCTGGATTCTTTTCAATATTGGTTTGCACACGTCGAGTTTGAATGAGATAATGTGCAACCGACTTGAAGCCCATATGTGATATCTGGAAGGTGGATAAAGAAGCTTAGATCTAATTTCACCTTTCAAACATAAAAAAAAAGGTCAGAGCACGAACATGCACAATTGATAAGACTTACCTTCCTATAAAGAGAGCCAGTAGGAGCCCATCCTTTCGCTTGCCGGCACAAACTACAGTTGCAAATTCCACGACACACAGGACAAACCCAATTTGGATTCTCTATGGCTTCAAGCACATGCTCTCCATATCTGCACATTTTAGAAAGAAAATTAACAACAAACAAAAACACCAATAGAATGAAATAAATATTTAGAACTAAAAATTTTGAAAGATCTACTACATAATAATCTAACTGAATGTTTGAAACATCAATATGTAGTGACATCTGCACAGAGAACTGGGGAGAAAGGTTCTAAAGGCCTGCATATCAAGCATAACAGTAGATAACAAGTACCCACTAGGCAACTGTAGGTAGCATGAGCAGGATGATACGTGAAGGACTTTTTGACAATCATCCCAGGGTCCCACCCTTATTCCTATACCTTAATGTAACTTCTAAAAGATATAATTTTACAAAATTTGAGGTGCAATATTTAGGATCAGAACTTCTCTTGTCAAACTGGCTAGAATACTTGGATGGTCTTAATCATTTTAGACAGGGTCGCGTTCTGAATGTAATAACCAGCTATAACAAGAAGAGAAGGCAAAAAAAGAACTATTGAACTAATAGTTTGAAATCAACCAGGGAAGATGGCATGAACTACAAAATAAGAAGGGCATATAGAAACAAAATTATGTGCTTGAATTGTAAGGAAACGGATTTTCTGATTGCATTAGTTGTTAATGCCTAATTTTATGAGTGTTAAAATAAAAACAACCAATACTGCAGGACAAGAAGTGCAGAGGTTTAAGAAAATCTCACACCTCATATATAAACAATCTCCACAGAACTGTCCTTGGACCATGTTGCATTTGCTACAGTGAGTACGATGACCAAGAGTTTTCTGCCTGCAACACAGCATTTTCATCTTGTGGCTAAATGAAATTGAGTTAACTGCTTATAAGTCAAGGAATAAAATTTTGATAAAAAATATTAATAAAAAAATATCATCAGAAAATAAATAGCTGGGGTAAGCAATATGGAAGCAGAAGGGAAAAAAAGGAAAAGAACACTTTTACCATTACAAGACTATCACAATTGAAATGCTAATAAAACTACCAAAGTAATGGTTAATACAGAAATGCTATCGCCCGCAATTGGAGGCAATATGACTTAGGGGAGAACAAATGAAAGCTCACTGATAATGCTACAGTCATAGTAAACTTGATGATACCACTCCAATCAACATATCACTGCTTCCACCAGCTGGCCAGGTTGCCAGCTTAGAAGACGATCAAGCAACACATCATGCCTCTCACCAGTCACCATAACCACAAGTGGTGACAAAGGCAAAACTGAAATCAGCACAATGATGCAGCCCTTAAGTTAAAAACGTAAAAGCAGTTCGAATGGAGGTTTCCTTTAAATTCTCAAGTTTTCAAAAATAAAACATTATTAAACATGTAAGATAAAGGTGAAAAAAAAACTAGAACATGTAAAGTTTCTTTCCTCTAATCTAACTGACCCCTTTCAGAATTTTAGGATATTTATGAGCTAGAAACTAAAACTACTAATGTTGCAATTATAGCATACTTCCATGGAAAGTTCACAACTTTATATCATCATATACCAATATTATTAGCTTTATGTTTACAGATATAACGCAGATGGAATAAGAAAGACTCCCACACCGGCATTGATGGCAAGTCTTTCCCTTCACAGAATCATAAATCCGTCTCCCAGCACTTCCATACCCATCCACAAAAAGTGTCCAGCTCCTTTCAGTGTTACCCAAAAGCTTCGCATGCTCTTCTGTATACACCTCTGTTTCCTGTAGCTTCAGCTGCACATCCTCCAAAACCTCATCTTTTTTTGCCAAAACCACCTCTGAATAGGTCACTGGAGTAGTATTCTGCAACCTAAAAAACCCCCCAAAACAACAGAATAAAAAAATTTCCATCAACATTATTGAACTTGCATTATTATCCAAAATTACAAGCTTTATCCTTCACTTTCTCTTTCATAATTCCTTAAAAAAGGAGAAGCTTTAAGTACTGGCAAAACAGCTTCAACAAAAACAACAAAAAAGAGGTCGTAATTCATTGCTTTCTGTTTCTGTTGAGACTTTTTAGTGGGTACTAAAAAAGCCAACAAAAAATCATATGGATATTACAAAACAAGAGCAATGGAATCACCTGGAGGAGCGGCGAAGGGAGGCAGATGGCGGCAAGGGAAGGGGTCGTGGGGTAACTGGTGGCTTACAGCCAAGTCGTGGACGCCCACGCCTTGAAGAGAGATGAGAAATGGAGTTGAGGAGGGAGTTGGAGAGATCTTTGAGGCCAAGCTGTTGCATCCGTTGAAGGTTTTCTTTGATTCTTTCTTCTCTTGACTGCTCATAAAGTGAGGTTTTTGGGGTTTGGGTTTTGTTCTCATTGTTGGGCTGGAGATGATATTGATGATCAGAGTTGTTTGGCGAGGTTTCTAAGGCTTGGGTTTTGTTTTCCATTGCCGGCATTGTTTCTTTCTTCTCTCTTTGGTCTCTTCCCAAGGTCACTGCTTTCTTGTTTCTGTGTCTCAACGGTCGAGCTTCGAGCCCATTATGCGAAGTGCAAGAGGGAAAAGGCAAAGTGGGAGATGGGTTGGCTCTCACTGCCCATCGTTTTAAATCATAAAAAAAGATTTCATGTTTAGATTTTTACAGGATAATACCCCATTTGCCTATAGAATTATTATATATATATATATATATATATATTTTTAATATGGCATCTACATTAAAAAAATCTAATTAAATATCTAAATTATATTTTCATGTATTAAATTATGTAAACTCTTAATATTATTAAAATAATAGTAATATGGTATTTAAATATTTATGTGGATGACAAATGATTATCATATTACGTAGATATGATTGTCATGTACCATGTTTTAAAATTTTAAAATATAAATTTAAAAAAAAATTTTAATTATTTTTTATTTTTAAAAAATAGCACATAACAATCATATTATTATCATATGGTAATCACATATCATTCATGTCAATATTTAAAATGTCACATTAATATTACTTTAACGGTATTGTGAGATTGAAATAATATAATACATAAAATTAAAGTTTAAGTACATAATTAATTTTTTTTTTAATTTAGAGATCACATTAAAAAAATTACAATAATTCATAGACCTTATCTCTTTTTAAAATATTTTATTTTGGCTATAAGTTTAATTTTATAATTGGTTATTAAAATTTATAAAGTTAAATATGAATGATCTTATTAATTTTTTAATAAAATACAAATATTATTCTAGTTCATTAATATTTGTTCAAATTAGGTCCACGGTATCTTTTTTAAATAATTAGTGGATTTAAGTCGTTTTGGAATTTTGTAATAATATTTATAAAGAAATAATAGTAACTTGAATAATATATAGTATAATAATAAAAATTAATAAAGAAAATCATTATAAAGAATTGAATTTATTTTTTTAAAATGATGAATGTATTAGATTAATTAAGAAGGGAATGAATTATCACTTTTAATTGAATAAAATATTACAACCATGAATAATTTTTAATATTTTTTAACATTATTTTCATAAAAGTCATGGAAAAAGTGTTTAAATTTTATTACTAACAAATTTGTCACCTTAATGAAGTTGAAATAGCAAATTTTTTTTCAATTTTCAAATACAAATTAATTTATTAAAATATTTGTATTCGATATTTTTTGTCATTTAAAAAAATAATATTTTTCAACAAAGGTTTTATCAAGGAATTAATTTTTTATTTAAAAAATAATAATTTTTTATTTACTCATTTTTCTTGGGTCTTGCATATTTTGTTGATTTTTATTTTTAATAGTTTAATTTTAGGATCTTCAAAATCAAACTAAAATAAAAGCAAATAGGCTTTAAAACTTATAAAGAGTAGGATTAAATTCACAATCAAGCTGAAAATTGAAATCTTATAGTAACAATAAATCTTGCTTTAAAAGATACGTTTTATGATTGAATTGATGGTATGATTCATTCACGAAATGTTAGATTTGACTAAAAATTATAATAAATTATCTCCAAATTATGTATAACATTTTTTTTCATTAATTTATATCCCAATTTCTTGAATTATCTCACAATCACCAAGGCTCTACTAGAACATTCTCAATTCAACCTACTGATTTCAATGAAAACAAAGACAAATTTAATAAAATACAATATAATCTTGGCTGTCACCTTGCGTATGCCCAAAGCAGGGCCTAAAAGTTCGTAAAACGTTGAGAACTTTGCAGGATGTTGATCAACTACCCTGCATCGAACGGTACATTTACAAAAGGGGGTCAAACCAAATGCAAACTCCATATAAACATAAGGTTACAAGTTTTACCAAGTGGGATTAATTCTATTTGCTGCTCTGATAAGCTAACAGGAAAGTACTTACTTATATACCTACCAATTCGGTTGGGACATAAACAACATTTGTAACGGCTTCAATTCTGGAATAAGATAGCCAGGAGGCCATGGCCAGTGCGAAATCTTGGAGTCTTGCCTTGGTTCTTTTGTGCATCAGTTTGAGCTATTTGGTTAATGCTGCTGGTGATAATAATGGCAGCATTGGAGCTTCTTTCATCTTTGGTGATTCTCTTGTGGATGCTGGTAATAATAACTATTTACAAACCTTGTCTAAGGCAAATATACCACCAAATGGAATTGATTTTAAAGCATCAGGTGGAAACCCTACTGGCCGCTATACCAATGGCAGAACCATAGGTGATATTATAGGTATGCTCTACCTCTTTCTTTTTTTGCCTTAATTCTACATTTTGGATACCAAAAGGAAATGATTCAATTAAACATTGAATAGACTAAACTTTGTTGTTTCTTGTTAACAGGAGAAGAATTGGGAGTACCAAACTATGCAGTTCCATATCTTGCTCCAAATTCTACAGGAAAAGCTATACTGTATGGTGTAAATTATGCATCTGGAGGAGGAGGGATTATGAATGCAACAGGAAGAATATTTGTTAGTTTTCTTTTTCCTATCAAGATTTTTACCCCTCTTAACTTTATCCATTTCCACAAAAATGTTTTATGGAATCTAAAATTAAATCTATTTTGCAGGTTAATAGGCTGGGATTGGATATCCAAATCGACTTCTTCAATAATACAAGGAAACAGTTTGATCAATTGTTGGGTCCATCCAAGGCCAAAGATTATATTACTAGAAGATCCATTTTCTCTGTTACAATTGGAGCAAATGATTTTCTCAACAATTATCTTCTCCCGGTTCTGTCCATAGCAACAAGGATTTCTGAGAGCCCAGATGCTTTCATCGATGACATGATTAATAACTTAAGGAACCAATTAACAGTATGCATATAAAATATCAGATAATTGCATTAAAATTTTGGTTAATTTGTTGATTATCGACTAACTATGTTGTGCTGTTAATGGTGGCAGAGACTTTACCAGCTAGATGCTCGGAAATTTGTCTTGGGTAATGTTGGTCCGATAGGCTGCGTACCTTATCAGAAAACCATCAACCAATTGAATGAAAACGAATGTGTTGATTTGGCGAATAAGCTCGCAACGCAGTACAATGTCCGATTAAAGGACTTGCAGACTGAACTGACTGGAAAACTCCCTGGTGCTACATTTGTTTATGCCAATGTGTATGACCTAGTGATGGAGCTCATCACAAATTATGAGAAATATGGTATTAAATCCACGTTTCGAGTCTTTCACTATATGCTGATATGCCTCCCTGTACTACCAAGTATTTACAATGGGAGCCTTTTTTTTATATGCAGGTTTTACAACGGCAAGCAAAGCTTGTTGCGGAAATGGAGGCCAATTTGCAGGGATAATTCCTTGTGGACCGACATCAAGCATGTGCCAGGATCGTGACAAGCATGTTTTCTGGGATCCTTACCACCCAAGTGAGGCTGCTAATCTTATAATTGCTAGGCAACTTCTCTATGGAAGTACAAGATATATTTCTCCAGTGAATCTTAAACAGCTTCGTAGTCTCTAGCTGTGGGTTTCTCTCCATCTTCCGTGACTATATTTACTATCTTTCCCTTTGAGACTTAAATCAAAGAATTTCCATGCTGTTTCCTTTTATAGTTTCCTACTTTTCATCATCATCTTCTTCTTCTTCACTGTCTATTTACTTCCATATTTGTAAAACTTTTGAGCTACTTTAAATTTCAATAATTGTGTAAATGATTCGAAAAATTTCTTCATGCAAAGTGCTAGTTACGTTTGAAGGTGGATGATCGGCTTTTCAACAAAGATTTCTATTCACAAAATCACCAGGGGCTGCAGAAACTGTGTACCTACCTACCTCAATAAATGCAAGGACTTAAATATTGCCTAGGCAAACGAACAACTAGCTGGCTTGAACTTGATTGTTGTGTCCTCTTTTAATCATAGTAAACATTGATTGGAAAATAATCCAGCTGTTAGCTGTGCTACATGCAAATTTGAAGAATAATCTGTCCACCAAGCCCTTTCAAACTTTCCTAAAGAGAATAGAAACCAATCTTCCACTACTTTCCCTTCCTTTTTATTCTCATCTTAGATTTTGGTTGCCTTGTTCTTCCACCTGTAACTGTTCTTTTACCTATGTTTGCACCATAATTGTGCAAGGAAATCCTGTGTGGAGGGAATCCTAAACTCTAGGAAAAAGCCAAAAAGAACAAGGTGATAGTTGAAACAAGAAGAGGGAAGTGAAGAAACAAATGGAAGCAAATGTCAGTTATTATGAGCGACCGAATTAAACACAACTGACTGAGAAGGATCGGAGGCTGAGGATTTTGTCATTTGACAGCGACACATCATGTTGTGCCGGGCTCTTAGATGGCCACTGAGCCCCGCGCGTGCCATTGGCTGAGACCCCTCCAACCCCAACTCTAACCCTACATTCACCGACAGCACCAGTCCTTCACTGACTGCTACCACTGTTGGTCTGCTTCTTCTTGACCCCAAGCCCCTTTACCTTCCTTTGGTTTTTGTAGTCGATAAGGTTTGATTTTCCCCTCCTGAGGGTAGACTCTTTGTGGGTTCATACTTCATAGATTTAACGTCTTGTCTTTGTTGTTGTCCACATTTATCACGTACCAATATTTCCTTACTTTTTCCAGTCTGCCACACATATGAGCTTCAAATTTTGTAGTTGGCTCGCGCAAGGGTGGTGGCTATAATGAATTTGCTAATTAGCCCTTTAGATAATTAAATTCTTAAACCATGCCAGCCTTATCCATTCATTCTGATTGCTTTATAACTATAACTTGGAAATATCTATCAACCAAGAAATTGTCCCTTTTTTTTAACCTCTATCTTAGCTATAATGTATTATCGGATGAACTCTACCAATCAATCACCCTCTTATCAGAGTTCATAGCCTAGACACTGTTCACTTGACCATTGAAGAGAGAATAGAGGAACATCACTTCCTGAAAATGGTTGCCCTTGATTCCTGCTGTGGCTAGAAACAGGACGAAATAAACGGTGAACATGTGAGAGGGAGCAAAGCTGAGTGCCCAGAAGAGGGAACAGTTATGTTTGGTGACGAGAAATAAGAACAATAGACCGAGAAATCCGGTAAGAAATTGGAAGAGGTACGGAGGAGGAATCTGATCCGGACATGACGCTTCCGAAATCAGAGGGGAGGCCCCTCCCCGACACTATGATTCTGTCTGTACTGTCCCACCTCCATCAATCCCTTTCAATCTCTACACTCTTCTTTCACGCTATATATCTACTCCTATGACTCCGGTCCTTTTTTTTTTTTAATTTTCTTTCAAATTCTTTTGGCTGCCAATGCTTAGCCAGAAACTGTTGGGAATTGGCACTGGCAGCTGCACCCTTTGGCATGCTTGTCTAACCTCATTTCAGTTCAGTCTATTCATTATTAGGATGGTGGCAATGGCACAATTTATCCCCACAGCAATGAAATTGAGTTTTGGAGTTGAATTTGGATATTCCAACATCGAAAAGTCGTTTGAAAAAGACAGTAGTGATTAAGTTCTGAGGAGTCATTTTCTTCGTCTGCTCGAATGTCCCCTCAAAGTTTGATTTTTCTAGCATAGGGGATTGTTGTTAACTAGTAATAGATCCCTACTTTATATCACGCACCATTACTATTGCGTCAACTAAAAATGAAAAGCTTGGTTTTGTTGTCCAATAAAGGAATAGAAATTTCCTTACAATCTATATAAATGCCTAGTGATTACAGTACAACTTTAAAATATATAGCAGTATTTAGTTCTGCCATCAGAATTACAAGCAGTCGTATTCTTTGAACTTTGTCTTTCTTCTATTACTGATTACTTCGCAACTGGAACATTCTTACAGAAACCAACTGGGACCCTTTTTGACTGCTGATCCATCATATGATTATCATTGTTTTCTCTTTGTTGCCCTTTTTTCTTTGGGTATAAACCAAAAAGGTTAAAGATGAACTAATTTCCAAAATGAAGAACTTAACAGTTGAACGACACCAAGCCGCATTCCTAGCTGATAGAGCCGACACTCAACAGCGCCCATTCTATAGCCGACTGATCAAAATGTCGAGCATTACAAAACACTGTAAAGCCTGCTCTCTTCTTTGTCTGCTCATACAACCTTCAGAACATGTTCACTGTCCAGCAGATTCTCTTCCCCTCCTCATTCTCTTTCTCCCTATAAAATCCCCCCTTCACTCTCCTCCCACAACAGGCAAATCCGAAACTACCCACCAGTAAGAAGTCACAAACTTTCTAAGCAAACTAGAACAAAAACAAAGATCTGAAGAAGATATAACTTAAGCCACTTTCTTTTTGTCTGAAAATGTCATCCGATTCCGGAAATCAAAACAGGCGTTTAACCAAGGCCCTTAACACGGGAGCCCCACCACCAGAACAAGAACAGCTACCTTGTCCACGCTGTGACTCCACCAGCACTAAGTTTTGCTACTACAACAACTATAACTTTTCTCAGCCTCGCCATTTCTGTAAGTCCTGTCGCCGTTACTGGACTCATGGTGGCACCCTCAGGGACATTCCTGTTGGCGGTGGCACCAGAAAAAATGCTAAGCGTTCGCGGACCACCACCCATTCCACTGCCATTTCTGCCGCCAATGCTGCCACCACTACCACTAGTCATAATAACTTCCCGTTATCTGCCACCCCGGTTTTGTTGCCATTCTCAGCCAATCAGAGCACTTTTGGTATTGGTGGAGAATCCAAGGGTTATGGGGGTGGAAGTATTTGTGGAAGTTTTACTTCATTGTTGAATACTCAGAGGCCTGGTTTTCTTGCCCTTCGAGGGTTTGGGCTTGGTGTTGGTCCAGGATTTGAGGATGTTAGTTTTGGGCTTGGACGTGGAACGTGGCCTTTTCCAGGAGTGGGAGATGAAGCAGCTGCTATTGGTGGCAGCGTTGGGGCTGCTACAGGAATGGGGAACACACGGCAGTTTGAAGATGGAGAAACGGGGTTTGTCGGTGGCGATTACTTTTCTTGGTCTGATCTTGCTATTTCAACTCCTGGAAATAGGCTCAAGTGAATCTGAGATTTTGGGTTCATTGTGTTTTCCATGTTCCTTTTTTTTTTCTTTTTAAGTGGAAATTTTTTTTGTACAAGGATAATTAGTGAGTACTTTGAGTAAATTATTAGCTATATGAAAGTAGAAATAGGACTACGACCTCTTTTTTTTTTTTTTTTTTTGTTCTTTCGGTGACTCAATACCATGTGATTTGCTTTGTTTTGTCTACCATTTTTGTGTAGGGACATGGCTCAAACTGATGAGCGTGTAGTTTTTGGTGTTAATATGCTAAACCTTAGGTGCTCTTCTAACTACCAGCATTTTTCTCACTGTTTTCCTAGGAGCCAGCAAAAGATTTGTAGATGGCATTATAGCAGTGTTTGTTTAAGATGATAGCTAAATGGCTTTCATTTAGTATTTTTTATTATTTGTTTAACCAGATGGAATGCCAGTTGTCCAATAATTTTAAGCCTTTTCACACATAATGTCTTAAAAAACTTATGTAAGTGCAAATTTACAAGTAGACGTGCCCATTGTGAAGTTAGAAGAATTTTGTAAGCTTGATCCTAGAAAAAACTGAAGCATAATGCAATTACTTCCACTTTTTCTATGACAACAGTAGAACTGTAAAAACAATTTGATTTTGTTTCCAAAAACGAAATATTTTACTTCTGCTTTTATATGAAATCCGACCTATGATTCTTAACTTTAGCCTCTCTACCTTACCTATTAACCACTCTGGCCCTACAATTATTTTTGTTCTGTAAGGTAAAGATCTGTTAGATTCTCCGGATTGTAATGGCTTGATTGTTCAGCGTTGCCTCCATGTTCATAGTTTTCGCTTTTCAGCCTGTTCTATGGCTCTGTGTTTAGTCCTCAAAGGCTCAAAATCACCTTTTCACCCAAAAAATTGTGTTTGCTGGAGAAGTAAAGTTACTCATTTGACAGTCTTGAATTTGGATGAATTTAGTGTTCTGGCCTTCTGGGTCATGGAGAGTGGAGACTACGAAAAAAGGAAAAAAAAAATCAGACCCCTTTCAGTTTTCATGCGACATCTTTCTTGAAAATTGACAAGCATCCAAAGCTATGGGTTTTCAACATGGAATCCTTCTGTTGTTTTCTCGATCATATCACTTACAAGCAGTTACTACTTACCAGTAGATGTGCTATATCTTTTTTATTTTTATTTCGTATCATGAAAAATCACTCTATTTTTCTCAGTCTTCTTTTACCAAATTGAATTCAGAATTGGAAGAGCTGGACATCGAAAGGTAACGTTTTCAGAAGCTGCATTTGACAGAACTTTAGATTTCATATCGTAAAGGCAACCCAACAATTGCAAATTCCGTCTGTAGTTGTAATACCCATAAAAAAAAATTATTTTAAATATTTTTATAAGTGAAGGACTCTTTAATAAAAATGAGAAATACAAAAGACCTATTGATAAATAATTTAATTTTTTTTATAAAATTAATTTATTCAATTTTCAGTCTATGCCTAATCGAAATAAAATTTATTTTCCTTTTATTTCTTTTACAAAAATGGTAAATCGAAGGATTACAAATGAATGGTAAGAACAAATTTATAAAGAGAATTGTCTATCAAATGTGAGCTAATAATTTCTTTCAATTTTAGAGTATTAATTATTAAGTCTTGAGATATAATTTATATGTCCATTTTTAGGCAAATGATTTAGGCTTTAATTAAAGTCTAATTAAATGTTGAGAAAGTTGATAATGTGATTTTATTGTTGAAATAAAAATTTCATGAGAATAGAAAGAAAAATTTTTATTTTCTATAAATTTTGATATGAACCTTGTGTTTGCAGTAATAGATTAAGGTTAGATTCTGTATTAAAAGATTAAACATTGCAATGATTATTATATATAGTTAGAAAGCTTATTGAATTTACTTTTTAATAAAATAATGGAAGTCAATTCTGAATATGAAAAGTAGTTTAATGTTTACTTAAAGATATTGAGTCGACTTTCCAACGAAATAAGCGAATTGAATTTGGAGTTTCTTATAATAAATAAATAGTTTTTATTAGAAGATATATAAGCTGTTTTGACGTAGATTTCAAAAATTGTTATAATTGATCCACAAAGAATCACAAGATGAGCCATATATATTTAGAAAGCTTATCGAGTCTAATTTCTAACGCATTAAAAAGATTTTAATTCGGAGTTGAATATCTTGAGATATTATCGATTTAGTGAAAGTAGTACATGCTATTAGAATTAATTATCCAAGTTAATTATTGTTTAACTTAATTGTTTTGATATAAGTGATTTCAAATAGGTTAATTAATCACTGCTATATTGAAATTATCTTGAATAGATCGTTAATTATTTAGAGAGAAAAATTAGATGGTGGAATCGAAAAAAATAAATAGAATCTCACGCACTTTATTTGTCTTCAAATCTATGTATATATATATGCTTCTAAATGAATGAATGTTTTATTTCATTATTTTTTATGTATGAAAATATGATCAAACATATAATTATTTTGTATTTTTTTATATAAATGATGGATCATCTTATAAATAAAATGAAAAAATGATTTATGTTTAAAAAATGACTTTATGATAGTTACATTTTTACATCCCTGAAAAATGAGATCATCTACACCAGAACTAGTTCTACGACCTTAATTAACGGATTATAATAGTTAGTAAAGATATGATTATACGGCCCTACTAACGGGTTATAGTAGTTAACGTAAGGCCTTGGTTAACGGGTTATAATAGTTAGCAATGATCATGAGGATGAAATTATCGATACGACCAATGTCACAGGTTATAGTAGTGACCATAGCTAATGATAAATAAATGATAATAATGATTTACAATGATTTTTATAAATTGATCCATGATTTGGTGACATGTTTTGATACTTATTTATGATCTATGAATCCTTAATAGAATATTGATTTTTGAACTATTTTTGATATTATGAGTTGATAAATGTTTTTGAGAATGATCTATATAGTACCTATGAAAATGATGTTTAATCCGATAAGTTGTGTGAGCTTTTACTTATTAAGCTATGGTTTGTTCATTTTTTTTTTTCTTTTACTGATGATATGAATGGTAAGTATGATTAATCTTGAGAAGAGCTAGAAGAATCAAGTATTGAAAAACTACTTAGAAATTAGAATTTTATGAAATATTGTTTCTTTTAGTTATAATACTCGACTTTGAACCTTTGGAAACTTGTTATTTAATTATTTTACTTATTGAGAATCTTATTTTAGTTGAGAATTTTTTAATGGTTATGGATTATGTTTAATATTGTTTTGGGGTTTTACTTTAAAGTAATATGACTGTGTTATGTTTCGGTTTCGAGGCGTGACGGTTATTACACTTTCATCTCAATCGACCTTCTGCTTTTGCTGCTTCTAATGTTCCAAACTTAAAGCTCTGTAGTATGAATTTACTGGTTTAGGTTCTAGAGTATATGCTTATATTTTGCTTTGTGATCTTATGCGAAAGGCTAAAAGTCGTTGGAGTGAGCTATGGAATGCAAGGCAACAACCTAGTAATTCCAGATAAAATTGTAACCCTTTGCAAGTCCAAAACCATTACCGGACTTCGTTATTTCAATATCAATCTTAATGCACTCCAGGCCTCACCAAATGCCAACAAGAACTATACATATCTGCAACTGTAGCTGGAAATGAGGTAATTCCTGTTGATTTAGTAGCCAATCTGATTCCAGCTGTGAGCAACCTTAAACATTCACGTTACCTCAACTCCTCGAGTAGTTTCCTAACAGTATTAGGAATGTCTTTTCGTCTTCCAATAACACAATTTTCACCTGAGATAGTGAAGTTTCTGGAGAATATAAGTACCCACTTTAGTTTAATATGTATCCTTCCTTTTCTTACTCTGCTGATGCAGGAACAGTTCGTCTAGAATATTATGCACTTTTCAACATATGTTGTTGTCAGGAAGAAATGTTTGAATACAGGAACCGGTTTGACTCCATGGTTGACGCAGTTAACTGGGCATTGAAATGTGCTAGAGCTCCTAATGTTGAGCTTGTTGTGTTAGTGAAACTCAATGGCCATCAGGCGGAGACGGAGATATCATAACCATAGGGCATAGAAAAATGCATAACAACAATTTGACACTCGATATAAGATCACAAAAGGGGACTCCAGTGAAGCCAATAAAGGGAATAGGGGCATAAGCATTTGCTTAGTTTGATTGAGGTTTACCCTGTCAATTTCGGACAAGATTCATATCTTTTCTTGAAATCAAGAATGTAGCTTGCATGGCATTCTCATGTAAATTTAATGTCAATGGAATCTCTTATGATGATCAATGCAATAATAGGAAGATGATTCAAGCTCTCATCAACAGTGAGGCAGTAAGTAATTCTCCTTACTGCAGTATACTCTATTGCCCCATGGCCTACAACATCATTAACTGCACAATGACTTGAGGAATGCAGGACGATTGCCAGATTTTTTTTTTTGTCAAATGTATCAATGATTCAATTTCCTCTCATTAACTTACAAACTTTCACATATACATGATAGTCAGTTTTACTTCTCCTCACTCATATCTGATTCGCCCTTGGAATGTAACTTTCATCGATAACTGGCTCCTGATATAGTTGTGTTCGTGTTCTGTTTTCTTAAGCTACAGCCTACAGTGCATTCAGATTCATGGTAGAAAATATATTTTGCCACCAGAAAGAATTTCCAACAAAACAGATTTGCATTTTGAATGCTAAATCTGCACTGAAATGCTCAATGCTATTCCTCCTTAATTGATACACTCTGAAGACCTTCTTACAGGTTCCTGATGCCATCTCAAACATGAACTTTTAAAAAGCTGCAAAGATTAATGCAACTACTATTAGTTTAAAAAAAAAGTATTGAAACTGGTCACCTGAAGGAATATGTGCAGACAAATCTAAATTTCTTAAAAAGAAGAAGGGAAAGGAAAATAAATGAAAGGAAATTTACAATCAAACATCCTGTTATTAGTAGAAATATATGGCATCAGCATCACCTTGATATGGTCATATGTTCCCAACATAATTACAAATTCTTCCACTGGTTGAGAACTAAAATTGATAAGATATTTTACCTGTTAAAGAGCAAAAGCGCCTAACCTTCACCTTCCTTCAGAAACTTACGATGAAACTCAAATATCATGATTCAATGAAATATTCCACCCCTTGCACACAAGCCTGAAGCCAGCACCAGACAGTCCAGTGTGCAAGAGATGGAATATAACATAAACCCATGTCAAACCACCAAAGACTCTATTAATTTTCTGGCAAGGAATGATAATTTATAATGGTGCAAAATGGAGTTGACTCAAAGGTCGTTAATGCATCAAAAGTGAAAATAACGTATCAGCCTTTCTAGATTCAGAAAATCCCGGTTCTTGGTGGAACTTTGAAAGTGCTCTGTGAGGTGGAAATCACCAACAACAAGCTACCCCCCTGGCATGGCTTCATCCAGTGGAGGTGGATGCTCAAAATCTTTTAGAATCTTTCCTCCATTTTGTTCAAGCGTTTTATTGAGTGCAAAATCTTCTGTATCAAAGGCATCTTAAATTCTTAATGGAGGGATTGTGTATGGCCACGGCCAATAATTAATTGGTTATTGATCTTTCCACTTTGTTTAGAAAGGCAGTCTTCTCACTTTTCAACCTCCATAATATCTTGCTAATATTGCTGAGAATTCTAGACTCAACTTCCTTCAGGAGTAGTGCAAATGGAGCTCCCATCTAAGGTCTCTCCTCTTCATTCTAAATATTTCATTATTTTTATGCAGCCACATTAAATGGAAAATTTTTATTACACAATGAATAGTGCAATGTGACATGAATTAAGACTCAATAGGCTAAAGGCCTACCTAAGACACGGCTGAGTTCAGTAGGCCCACATAAGAAAGTGACTTAAACAAGGTACAAGAATGTCGCATGAATATATCAATCTATTCATGTTGGATTATATTTTGTTTACAAGATATCATAAAATATATCAATCTTTTCATAAAATTAAAAAATATATAAACATATTCATAAAATTTGGATCACAAGCTTCCGAAAAAGAATATGCATTGATTTTGATAGAAGAGCTTATTAATGTTTGCTTATAGCTGACAAATTGCAAAGTTCTGGAAATCTAGAGGGAATTTATGCAGTTTGGCATTTTGGTTGTTGGATACGTGCAACAATTTGTGTTGGTATCCAACTCAATCCATTCATATAATCCAATCTAAGCCCATAGTACCTGTCCTCAGCTGGCTAGGAGAGCAGTTATCACAGTAATAATTTGCAAGCTTCTCAGTTTTCTTGCAGTGTATCTCATGTTGAGCTAAATACTTGAAACAAAGTCATTTGTTACTGATTTTATCATGTTCCCTTGTAGCCTATGCAGTTCAGCTTGTGCATCGTTAACCAGGGGATGCAATTGATCTCCAGAAGAGAACACATGAATATTGTTCTTATCTTCAATCCAACTTAGCCCAGGATCCTTTTCCAACGTAAAGTCTCTTATCTTTCTCCTCATTACTGTTACACCTTCCCATCTCTCTGTAGCAGCATAAAGATTTGAAAGCAAAATATGGGTTCCACTATCTCTTGAATTAAGCAATAAAACTTGCTTTGCTGCATGCACTCCCTTTTCCAAGTTTCTATAAGTGACACAAGAGCTTAGCAAAGTTCTCCAGAGTTCCAGATGTTCTTCACTGTATGGTGATTCTATAATTATTTTCTCTGCCTCATCCAATAATCCTGCTCGACAAAGCAAACTTACCATACAAGAATAGTGCTTGGGCCCTGCCGTGCAACCATTTTCCTTCATATAACCCCACAAGAACTTTCCCCTATCAACCAAGCCACCGTGGCTACAAGCAGATAGTAGAGACAAAAATGTTACTTGATCTGGTCTTAGTTCATGTTTTAGGATCTCCTCAAATAGCTTCAATGCATCTTCTGCCATTCCATGGAGGCTATATGCCCCAAGCATTGCATTCCAACACTTTAAATCAGGGTTAGGAACCAAGGAAAATATTGCTTGAGCAACTTGAAGGTTTCCATTTTTGGCATACATATCAATCAGACTACCACAAACAGACATTTCAACATCATATCCAGTTTTTATAGCCTGGGAATGAATCATCTCACCTTGTTTCAGCATTGCAATGTCAGCACAAGCACTTAATGCTCCACTGAGGACAAAGCTATCGATCTTATGCCCTGTTTGACGCATTTCAACGAACAATCTAATGGCACTGTCCCCATCAGCCATTCTAGAATAGCCCATAATCATTTCAGTCCAGAGAACCACATCTTTCTTTAAGATCATACTGAAAATCGTCTGAGCAGATTCACTGTCACCATTTTTGAAATACATGGACACAAGCGTGGTTCCTACAAAAACACTACTTTCCAGTCCTGATCTTGTAATTTGACCATGCAAGGGCTTCCCGTAATCACATGCTAAGAGTGCACTAGTCGCGGAAATGACAGCAGCAAAGGTATACTCATCAGGCTTAGGAAAAGACAGCGCCTTCAACTGGATAAAAAGCTCGATGGCCTTCATTCTATCTCCATGCTCTGCCAATCCCGCCATCATTGAGTTCCAAGAAACCAAATCAGGGTTTTCAATCCTACTAAAAACATTCAATCCCATTTCAATATCACCGCAATTACAGTACATGTCAAGCAAGGCATTTTGCAAAGGTAGGTCAACTACTATATTCGAAACGACAACTTGGGCATGGATAACTTTCCCACAACCATAATTCCCCATCCTACCACAAGCATTTAACACCATTGAATACGTAAATGAGGTTGGAAAAACCCCACACTTAAGCATATCAAAAAAGAGATTAAGCCCTTCCTTTATCTTATCATTCCTCAAGTTCCCAAATATTGTAGAATTCCAAGCAACAACATCCTTGTCATCTATGCAGCCAAAAACTTCATTAGCCGATTCCAAATCCCCACAATTCGAGTACATCCCAAGTAATGAAGTTTGAACACAAACATCACCTAGGAATCCATACTTTACAACAAGAGCATGTAACAAAGAACCAATCAACTTATCCTCAACCAAAGAAGCAGCTTGTAACAAGCTCGTGAATGTGGCACCATTAGGCCTTAAACACTCAAAACCCATCTTGGGAATCAATCTAAAGGCTAAATTAGCATGGTTTGGATCTCGAGAATAAGCTGAAATGAGCGCATTGTATGAAACCACATTTCTACTGGGCGTTTTGTCGAACACTTTCTTAGCGTCCACAAGGGAGTTGCATCTCGAGTACATGGATACAAGATTGTTGTGGACAAACGGGGAAGGGAAATGAAGGGATGTTGAAGAGATGGTCAGGAGGAAAGCATGGAGTTGACGGGCTTTTTTGAGGGTGGTTATGGAGGTGCATTTTTGTATCAGGGAGGCTAGGTACGAGGTTTCATGTGACGGTGGCATGCACGCGGCCAAGGAGAGTGGGGGACGATCGTAACTCAGTTGATACGCTTAGACCGAAAGTAGAGTTTTTCTGTGTTTTGCAACACTGGATCAATCCTGCTCGTAATGTTCTGTCAGTTGTTACTTTTTTGTGGTATTAAGAAAATCCAAACCAATCCTTGTCGTCGATCCTGTCTTTAAAATAAATAAATAATAAAAAGAAATCACCAAAGACTAAAAATCGATTGGGTTCACTTTTTTTTATTCAATTTGATTTTAAATTAAAGAAAATGTTAAATTTGTTTGCGAAAAACTTGAATTAGTGAAAATTTTTACACATTAATTAAAAAAGGATAAAAAAATTTTTAAAGGAAAAAATGGTATATATACCTTTTTATTTGAATATTTAAAATTAATAAATAAACAAAATAAAAAATTTTTAATACCCATTATTTGAATAAATAATAAAAAAAATAATTTATTATAATATTTTTTCAATTATAAATTTTTTTTTATAAAGTAACATATAATATATAAATATATATTTATACTACCTAACTTGTATAAACAAAAATTTTTAAACAAAATTGAGCATATTTACTAGATGTGTTAGCTAGTTCTTGATTTAATCTTAATTTTATGTTTAATTCAACCTTTTTAATTTATTCTGACAATAATTTGACTTGTTTTGTTATTAAGACTTAAAAAATTATAAAATATATATAAACTATGATATTATATAAAATACTCATAAAAAATTTATTTTTATAAGAAGTATCAATTATATAATTAAATCTAATATCATAACAAAAACATAGATATAATAGTTTTTTTATAAAAATAAAATTTTTTAACTTTCTTTCCTTAGCTTTTCTTTTAAATTGAGGTGTTAACAAAGTGAGGATTATAAGAAAAATCAAAGGTTATTAGCTTTTCAACTTTTTCATTTCCTTTACACTTTGATAAATTTTTAATTTAAAAGAAAGGAAAGAGGTGGAAACTAAATACCATTTGATTTCTTTTATAATCTTCACTTTTTTAACATTTCAATTTGGTAAAAAAGTTAAGGAAAGGAAAGTTGAAAAAATTTTATTTTTATAAAAAGGTTATTATATCTATATTTTTATTATGATATTAGATTTGATTATATAATTGACATTTTTTACAAAAATAAATTTTTTTATGAGTATTTTATATGATATCACAGTTTGTAAATATTTTATAATTTTTCAAGTCTTAACAACAAAATAAGTTAAATTATTGTTACAAAAGTATTTTAGGAACAAAAACCTAATTATCGTAAAATACAAAAGAAAAACAGAGCTCTTCTTCCTCATATTCTTTAGGATTAAAGAGCATAAAAAATCAAATTGAAGATCTAAAATCAGAGACTATAATTAAATTGATCTCTTAAAGATGAGTATATGTCATCTTTTTATTTAAGAAAAAATTTATATTGGTTGTTATTATTTGGAGTTAAAGTTTTGAAAGAAAAACTTAAGAAAACTTATGAAATTTTTCATTAATCTTAATGATCTATTTTGATAAATTATTGAGCTTTGTTTACTTCATGTTATTAAGATTTAATGATGATTATTGAATGAATTTTAAAAATTGAAAGTAGAGATTTGAATTTTTAAAAATTGAAGGAGAAATTCTATATTTGGATGAATTGTTATTATCTATAATAGTGAATTTAAATGGAATTCTATATTAATGGATAAATTATTATTGTAAGTATTATATATCATTAGAAAGTATGTTGAATCTACTTTTCTAATAAAATAAACAAAAGTTGAATTCGAATTTTTTATGAAGAGTTGTCTAATTTTTATTTAAGGATATGCAAATTATATGGCAATAGCATCAAGGTTGAATTACAAAAATTATCTTAAATTTTATACAAGGAATTAAAAATTGAGCCATATATGTGTTTGAAAAAATTGTTGAGTCTACTTTCTAACATAATAAGTGGAATTGAATTTGGAGTCTCTTATAAATAAATATGTAATTTTTATTAAAAAGTATATATGTTGTTTGGTATCAACATATGAAGTGGATTATAAAAATTACTAAAATTAATTTACAAGAAATAAAGAGATGGCCGTATATGAGTAGAAAGCTTATCAAATTTAGTTTTTAAAACATTAAAAAGATCTTAATTTTGAGTTGGATATCTTAAGATAAGTCATTTTAATGAAAATAGCATAGGTTGCCCATAATTAGGTAGTTGAGTTAATCCTTGTATAATTTAATTGTTTTTAGTATAAATAATCTTTAAAAAGGTTGATTGATTTTTTATATATTGAAATAATTTTGAATAGGCTGTTAAATATTTTTTAGCTAAACTAAATGGTGGAATCGAAAGGAAGTAAATAGAATTTTATACTTTTTACTTGTTTTCAAATTTATGTATATATGTATATTTCTAAATAAGTAAATGTTTTATTTTTTTATTTTCGATATATGAAAATAGGATCAAGCATATGATTATTTTGTGTTTTTATTATGTAAATGATGAATCATGTTTTATGAAAGAAATGAAAAAATGATTTATGCTTAAGAAATGATTTTATGATAGTTATATTTTTATATCACTGGGAAGTAAGATCATCGACATCAGAATTAGTTCTACGACCTCCGACAAACAGGTTATAGTAGTTAGTATAGCCATGATCATACAGCCCTACTAATGAGTTATAATAGTTAGCAATAATCATGATGATGAAATTATCGATACGACCAATGTCATAGGTTATACTAGTAATCGTAGCTAACGATAAACTAATGATTTATGATGATTTTTAAAGATTGATCTACGATTTGGTTTGATTACAATACTTAAATAATAACATATTTTGAAATGATTTATGAATTGATATGTTTGATATTGATTTATGAACTACGAAATATTTGATATAATAATGATTTTTGAAATGTTTTGACATTATGATTTGATGAATATTTTGAATGATCTGTATGATAAGTATGAAAATAATATTTGATTAAGTAAGATCTGTGAGCTTGTACTTGCTAAGCTATGGTTTGCTCATTCTCCTTTTACCTTTTCTTTACATATAAGTAAGTGATGAGTTTTTTTAATCTTGCAAGGAACTAAAAGATGGAAATAAAAAATATTATTTAGTTATCGGAGACGATGTTAGCCAATGAGATCTTATGAAACGATTTTGTATTTTTATTAGTTTATATTTAAATGTATAGAGTTTTATCATAAGTTATTGAAGAATTTTAGAATGATTAAAAAGGAATGCTTCGTATTATTTTGAGGTTTTACTTTAACGCTATGTTTGGATACATATAAATAAAAGAAATGAAAGGAAAGGAAAGGAAAAAAAATTTTTTTAAAGGAAAGGAAAGAGTACATTTACCATTTATTGGCATAGTTAAAATTAATAAAAGAAAGAAAAGAATTCTAACAACCATTATTTAGATAAATAGTGAAAATGAAAGAAATTAATTCATTATAATATTTTTTTCAATTATAACTTTTTTTTAAAAAATAACATATAATATACAAATATATATTTATATTATCTAGCTTGTATAAATAAATTTTTTTAAATAAAATTGAGTATGTTTAATACAGTAAGATGTTTTAATTAGTTATTAATTTACTTTTAATTTTATGTTTAATTTAATCTTTTAATTTATTTTGACAATAATTTAGCTTATTTTGTTGTTAAGACTTAAAAAATCATAAAATATTTATAAACTATGATATTATATAAAATACTCATAAAACAATTATTTTTATAGGAAGTATCATTTAGATGATCAAATCTAATATCATATTAAAAATATGAATAAAATAATCATTTTATAAAAATAAAATTTTTTAACTTTCTTTTTCTTAATTTTTCTCTCAAATTAGGGTATTGAAAAAATGAAAATTACAAAAAAAAAATTATTAAGTTTTTATCTCTTTACTTTCTTTTAGATTAAAAATTTATCCAAATAATTTTTTTTTTTAATTTTCATTACTTTCTTTTATTTTTTTTTCTTCCTTCAATTCAAACATAATTCAAACATAGTGTTAAGGTAATATGTTTGTGTTGCGGGCTTGCGACGTGACATTTGCTCACTGGTTCTGAATTTCATTGTCTCTGCTGTCTGATCAACGATTCATTCCACCTTTTCACCTTCAGTCACCCTAAACCCAAACTCACAGAACTACCAATTTTTATCCAAAGCACTATTTAACGTGGTAATTTCTTTATATTCTTTTCGCTTTTTTGTTTTTTCTTTTCACAAATTTCTTGATAACCCAAATCACATAAGTCCTTCAAATTTCTCGAAAGCCCATACATTCTACATTTAGCCGGCAACGTTCTTGTAACTCTGTCTGAATTCATAGCCTCATCTGTATGTTAATCAAAAGTTACTACTAATTTTGTACTGAATTTTTGTTATGAATTCTCAATGGGTTGGTTAAATTTGTAGCTATATTCCTTTTCAAAGTCTTGATAAAGCTATGGTGGGACATTGAAACCTCAATTATCCCAACTAGTACAGTAGCTGACTGATGGGGCCAGTTGATATTAAAAGTATGGGACCCGGGTGTGATTGTGAGAAGTGACATGATATGGCAAAATAAAATTTTTTATAGCTCAGAAACTTACTAGATCAAAGGCAAGAAAGGGTGGGAAGGGCGAAAAATGGAGAAGGGAAAGAGTCTTTTTGTGCTTGTCCATGGAGTTTGTCATGGAGCATGGTGCTGGTATAAGGTGGTAACTCTGTTGAAATCAGCGGGCCACAAAGTTACAGCTCTCGATCTGGCTGCTTCTGGGGTCCATCCAAAGCAAGTGCATGAGCTTCGTTCGATTTCAGACTACTCTGAACCGTTGATGGAATTCATGGCGTCTCTCCCACCAAAGGAGAGGGTGATTCTGGTTGGCCACAGCCTGGGTGGAGTCACCATTTCTGTTGCCATGGAAAGATTCCCGGAGAAAGTTTCTGTCACAGTTTTTGCCCCCTGCCAGTATGCCTGGACCCGACCTCAGTTTCATTTCTTTGCATCAGAAGGTACTCTCTCTCTCTCTCTCGCTCGTTTCACAGATGGGCATGCTTTGCTACTTTTGCCCTTCGTTATATAGCATTCTTTCCATTTGAATTTATGACCTCCATGAAAGATGGGTCCTTGGTGATCAAGCGAGTCACATAAGTTTTCAGGGATAAAATTCAGTTTTGATGTTTATCCTGCTGCATCATATTGAAGTATGCTATGCAAATCTACAG